TTTACTAAAAGAGACGTCACAATCATGGCGGATGTGGCGAACAGCGTTTTTAGTGTTTAAAAAGTATAGACTAAAAATTATTTATTTAAATTAAATTTCTACAGCAATCGTGCCGAATTGCAATCACTCGACGTCCGGAAAGCTAGTGGACCTGATGGCATCCCAGCAGTAGTACTCAAAAAATGTGCAGCGGAGTTGTCTCCCGTGCTCACGCGCTTGTACCAATGCTCGTATTCTTTGGGGCGTGTGCCGGAGACTTGGAGAGATGCCAATGTGCAACCGGTGCCCAAAAAAGGGGATCGCTCAGACCCGGCAAACTACCGGCCAATAGCAGTCACCTCAGTTTTATGTAAAGTTTTAGAAAAGGTCCTTAATAACCATCTGACCCGCTACCTAGAGGATCACTCCTTGATTAATGATCGTCAATATGGTTTTAGACCGAAACGATCGACGGGTGATCTTCTAGCGTACTTAACTCATATCTGGGGTGAGGCTATCGACAAGCGTGGCGAGTCGTTGGCTATCAGCCTTGACATTGCCAAGGCGTTTGACAGGGTCTGGCGCAAAAGCCTTCTCTCCAAGCTTCCGGCATACGGTCTGCCAGCCCAGTTCTGTTCTTGGGTAGCTGACTTCCTGCATGAGCGTAGAATTCGTGTCCTTACGGATGGTAGCAGTTCGCGGTTCATGTCAGTGAATGCCGGCGTTCCCCAGGGCTCCGTCCTATCCCCCACTCTCTTTCTGCTGCATATCAATGACTTAATTCCTCTTGGGAATATTCATTGCTATGCAGACGATAGTACAGTGCATGCGGGGTATCTCGGACAAGCAGCGGCTGGGCTGGCGGTAACCAAGGAGAAACGCGAGAATCTTGTCATTGAACTCAATCAGGCTTTGGACCACATTTCCGAATGGGGTACCAGGAACTTGGTTGAGTTCAATGCCAAAAAAACTCAGGCTTGCGCTTTCACGGCAAAAACATCGTCATTCCTTCCCCTTCCATCTCTTCAGGGCACAACACTACCGCTGCAGAGCAACATTTCCATGCTCGGTATGGAAGTTCGCTCAGACCTGAATCCAAAGAACTACATCGAAACCGTGATCAAAACAGCTTCACGCAAACTCGGAGTCCTGAACAAGGTGCGGCGTTTTTTCACGCCCGATCAACTGTGCTTGTTGTACAAAACGCAAGTGCGGTCCTGCGTGGAATATTGCTCGCACCTCTGGGATGGCTCCGCCAAGTACTTGCTCGATGCTTTGGATAGGTTACAGCGACGCGCGATCCGCATCATAGGCGATGAGGAGGTGACAAAACACCTTAAGCCTCTTCAATTACGCCGTGACGTGGCGTCACTAAGCGCGTTCTATCGTCTATACCACGGCGAGTGTTCTGAGGAGTTATTCTCTCTTATCCCACCTTCTCCTTTCCTTCAGAGGACCACGCGCGCTGGCCTACGTTGTCATCGTCTAACTGTGGCCACAATTCCAACGCGTACAAAGAAATTTGGTGACTCATTTCTTTGTCGCACTATCCGTAAATGGAATGCTCTGCCCGCTCACGTGCTCCCTCCCTCTTACAACCTGGGATCCTTTAAAAGAGGCGTGAAGAAGCAACATGCAGGCCGGCAGGGTGAGGACGGCTGGTGTGGCAGGTAAAACTGCTGTATCAGCTGTCGTCACGTCTGGACTTCACCTTCACTTAACATCAGGTGCGGTGGAGTCATTTGTCGGACCTATCTATAAAAAAAAAAAAAAAACAATCTTCTGCTTTTATGAAGTGAAATCGATATATTTAGGTTCCTTAGACCAAATACTTTAAGAAATAAACATTTATTTAATACAATTCGACATGAGTCAACTAGCCTATTTTGATTACTATCATATCTTTAGTAGCACTCCCATAATTAAGACGAATCGATTGATGTATGAATCATCAAAATCGGTCCACGCGTTTGGTCTCTAGTGTGCCACAAAGGAACAAACATACATATAGGGTGAAATTGAATGTTTTAATGAAACTTCGTGGGATTGTTGGGTTACGTGTATAGTTACTCCGTGATCATGGCGCTTGCAACAGTGCCGAAATATCGGAAACTCGCTAAAAACAAGGTACATGGTAACAATCCCGTAAATAACTTATATTACTATAATGTTAGTGACCATGAAAGTTTAAAACAATATACGTGTATAGAGTATGCCTAATTCTTTTCGGATTTTTTTGAAGTATATTTTTTTCATGTTTTTATTTATAATTTTTGTATTTTTATGTCCTTTCCTCCTTTTGAGCAGTTTATTTATTTTAAACACTCATACTTATATATTCAGTGAAAAAAAACTAATAAATAAGCACCATTATAGAAACGGAAAAACGCACATCACTCATTAAATAAAACTAGTTTTTACGGGTTAATGCACGAAACTTTATTTATTTATTGACGTTTCTCAGAGTCAGAGTTACTCTATATACGTAACCCAACAATCCCACGAAGTTTCATTAAAACATTTAATTTCACCCTGTATATACACTGTTAAACACTATACCCAGTCTGCGCGTCGCGCTTCGTACTCTTGCATTGCGCAGTCGGGTAATTAGCAAAATCTGACATCGTAATTGTAATGTTTGTTTTTGGGCAGGGCGTTTTTGTGCACTGGCACACGTAGACAGATGTTTTGTCTATGATATCGAACCGCTTAACTGTCGAACTTCATTGGTTATGTTGGTAGCATTGAAAGTTTTTCATTTTTCTTAGTATGGTACGCTTCGAATAATAAAAAAAAGCAAATTAGGTGCTCTAAATTGTTGATTTACTTGCCACTAAAAAGGAATATTTCCATTAACTAGTACATATCAAAGATTTTGGATGTCCATGTTTTGCATCAAAGGATGTTTTTCTGATTTGTAAGACAACAGAACAAATTATAAGACGGTGTATAAAAATAAGTGGTGGAAAATCACAGTTAAATAAATGTGATTAAAATTATTTGACTTTAGAAGCGCTGCGTTCGCTTATACATTTAAAATTATTTGTAAATACAGATGCCCACAGCAAGGAACAGTTCAACCACTATTATGAATTGACCAAAGCTGTCATTGAAAATTATGTAGCTTTGCGTTTGCACTATATTTGCAAAAAATAAATCATCAATTTGGAACTTTCTGTATTACATCTTCACTATGCAAAACTTAATAAAATTTCTTCGGTCACCGCTGACAGACAGCGCGGGCGCGGCTCAGCGCACTGGCTAGATGCCTACTATAGGTAGATCGCTTAACTGAATCCTCGCCTGCGGGGAGCAGGGTGTGGGGGAGGACGAGAACCGGGACCGTGAGGTGAGAGGTGCTGGCGGCGGGAACGTTCTTGTCAAAATTACAAGTTCCCGCCGCCCGCACCTTTCACGGTCCCCCACACCCTGTGTTTACCTATAGCGACGTACATATTACGACAGTGCATCTAATTACGTAATCTACAGCCGGAGGATGCAAAAAAACGAAATTATAATTACTTATTTATTAAAAGATAAAAATTACAATAAAATAACTACGGACTAAAAGTAATGTACTGGTTCGATGTTGGAAACCAAGTGGCCGAGTTCTTGTTGAAAAACGTGGGACTCGGGGAAACGCTGACGCCAGGTCACGTAGGCCACTGCACGTTGCACCGGTACGTTGCGCTGACTCGACATCACGGGCTGTTGCGATGTTAATTGGGTTGCCTAATATATTATGACGTCGGCGATGTGGCAGCGATGTAATTATCTATTCAATGCAATCAATGGCATGTTTAGATAATTTATTGATTATTAATTACGTTGCGTGTAGTTAAGAAAATAATAAATTATTATTATTTTTGATGAAGCTATTGTAGTAAATAAACCTGACAATATTGTGATATGTATAAACAAAGTGGTTTTTTTATATATATAATAATTACGTGTTCCTTACAAATAAATAAAATATATTTCCAAAACTCACACCAATTAGCCTAGCCCCAAAGTAAGCACTGTAAGGCTTGTGTTATGGGATACTTGGGTAACCGATAAAATATTATGTATTGTACATGTATAAGTATATTTATATAGAAATACTTATTAAACATCAATGACTGGAGTACAAATGCTCGTATTCATCACACAATCGCCCCCACCGGGATTCGAACCCGGGGACCTCTCGAGTCGGCGACACCATGAAACCCGGTGTATAAACCACTCGGCCACAGAGGTCGACAACGTTCGTAACACCCGATAGATAGTATACAAAATGGTGCGATTATAACATTAAGTACAACTTTTGTTTAAAATTTGATCACTACACTGCATATTGACTTTTGTTCTACTAGAAAACCTAATGAGGCAATAAAGCGAGACCCAGAGGAGAAATCAGTTCCCACTGACGATGGAAACTGGACGCATTGTAAACTGGATTGGCTGAAACCTGATAAGATCCGCGATGCCAAGAAAAGGAGACCAGATCATCCTGATTATGACCCTACCACACTATTTGTGCCACCCAATTTCATGAATGATCAGACACCAGTAAGTAGTAGTATTTAAGTTAACAATATGTGATGGATTTTGCAAACTTTCATGAGGATTTTCTGGAATGACGGGCACCAGGTGGCAGCACTGAGATGAAAGGTCTACCATACACGACATCGCGTATGTCCTTATAGTCTATAGGATTTACTAGTGTAAAATAATTACCCAATTTAAAGGGACCCTTACCCTGACTAAGGGTGCTGTAATGTGAGTTAGGAAGTGAGGGACCCGATCTAGGGTGATCGGCGCGGTGTAATAATTGCTACCCTAGCTACCGGCCCGCCCATTCTTTCGATGGAGCTCTTAAATTGGGTAGTGTAAATACCGTTTTGATGTTTGGATGAAACGTTCGATTAGTTCGCGCCAAAAACTTCATACAAGACACCTCACGTCACAGCGCCAACTGGTGACGTAAATTTTCATATATTCTCTAACCCCCTTATTAATAAACAAGGAATATGCTTATGGTGGGCATACACGATCCTTCCTATCGTCCAATCGGCATGACACTGCAGGCTTGATCCAATCTGCAGTTCGTCCACATACACCATACACCATCAGTTTTAACTGATCGGCAGCGACGTTCAGTTGCAGTCATGGCGTCACTGATGACAGACGACGATGCTATAGCCGTTTTGGGCATTGTACTCGTGAAAATGAAGCAAAAAAAACGAAAAAATCGAGCAGAGTGGTGCAAGCAGTGGTTAAAGAAAAGAAAACAGTTTGCTCATACAAATTTAATAGAAGAATTGAGGATTAAGCCAAAAGATTATAGTAATTATTTACGAATGAATGAAGAAACTTACGTGAAACTCCTAACGTTAGTTACTCCATTAATTGAGAAGCAAGAAACTGTTATGAGGAACGCTATCTCGGCGCACGAGAGGTTAACAGCGACTTTACGATTTCTAGCAACAGGGAGATCGTATGAGTGCCTCAAATTTTCGACTATAATATCACCTCAAGCTTTAGGGCGAATTATACCAGAAACCTGTGCTGCTATTTACGAAGTTCTCAAAAAGGATTTTATACCGGTAAGATTACTGTTTTTTTATATTTTACACAAAGTACACCTACTCTACACTACCCCTAACTATCCCTACACTATTTCTTCACCTTTCCCACCTTACCCTTAACCCTATACTTGGCACAGTGTATTATTTTATACGTTCAACTTTTATAAATCCTGGACGAGTACAGTTCTTTTTGTGACTACTTTTATTAATTATTATGGTAGGAAATACGGTCACGGTATCTCCATGCCAAGTTTCATCAAAATCGGTCGAGTAGTTTTGGAGTTTACTCGTTACAAACAAAAATACAAATCTTCTCTCTTTATAAGATTTGTTGTGTAGATAGATTAAATATTAATTTACTATTTTTTTTAATTTTTTTTTTAGTTTCCCGATACTTCCGCTAAATGGAAACAAATCGCGGAACACTTTGAAGAAAGGTGGAATTTTCCACATTGCTTGGGAGCAATAGATGGGAAACACATCGATATAATCCCACCTGCTGACAGTGGTTCTTATTACTACAACTACAAAGGACGACACAGCATGGTTCTCATGGCAATTGTTGATGCAACATACCGGTTTATACTTGCAGATTTTGGAACAAATGGGAGAGTTTCCGATGGAGGAGTATTGCAAAACACCAAGTTTTTCAAGAAGTTGCAAAATAAAAAGTTAAATATCCTAAATCCTGAAAACATCGAAAGTAGCTCAAGATGTTTACCGTACGTGTTTGTTACTGACGATGCGTTTCCGCTGAGAGCCGACATGTTGAAGCCATATCGCCAAGCTGATTTGAACAATTACGAGAAGAAAATTTTCAACTATAGGCTGTCCCACGCAAGACGTATTGTAGAAAACGCATTTGGCATATTGTCTTCACGATTTCGCATTTACCATACTAAAATTAACATAGAACCAGATAAGATACAAAATGTAGTGATGGCTACGATAGCTTTGCACAACTTCTTAATGGAAAATGTGCCATATTTATATGCACCCACAAGATGCTTTTACCATGAAAATATCAATAATGGGACTGTAGTCAACGGAGGGTATGATACATCAAGGTCAACTATGGAAGATTTACAAAGACGAAATCAGGGAAATGTATTGAATAATGCTAAAATTATCAGACAAGGATACCAAAATTACTTTGTCAATGAAGGCAAAGTACCGTGGCAGGATAATTTTATATAAAACACAATGTAATTTATGTGTTTTTATTATTAAAGCAATTAGTATTACAATAACTTGGTGTTACATTCATTATTTAATTACTATTCTGACATAAAATTACCAACAAAAGATGCCGCAGAATCTCCAGATATTGATGGTAAATCTTCAGGGCCCGGGGCTTCGTGGCGTTGCGAGAAATGCAGGTCATCCTGCACGTTTTGTAAAGACGAATGACTGTGAGAAGTGATTGGATATGATGGCGAGACTGTTTGTTGGTTGTGCTGCATGTTTTGAGATGGGCTTGCTGAATGCGATGAATGACTGGGAGAAGTGAATGGGTATGATGGCGAGACTGTTTGTTGGTGGTGCTGCATGTTTGGAGATGGGCTTGCTGAATGCGACGAATGACTGGGAGAAGTAAATGGGTATGATGACGAGACTGTTTGTTGGTGGTGCTGCATGTTTGGAGATGGGCTTGCTGAATGCGACGAATGACTGGGAGAAGTGAATGGGTATGATGGCGAGACTGTTTGTTGGTGGTGCTGCATGTTTGGAGATGAACTTGCTGAATGCGACGAATGACTGGGAGAAGTTATTTGATATGACGGGGAAAAATTATTTGATGGAGAGGTTGCATATCGCCGATGACGTGGCCCAGTATTTATGACTTTATAATCCAGTGTCAGATTACCCCATTCAGCTTCAAATAACACATCATTCATTAATTTTTCGGCAAGCATTCTTTGCTGTCTTGGCAAGTCCCGCAATTTGCTCGCAATAGACTTGCAATAAATATCATGGCGATCTTCCTTTCTAACTTCATCCCTGGGACGCTTGAAATGGTCATTAACAGATTGAAGAACACTGTTGACGAGATTATCTTCATTTTTTCTTTTTGGTTTCGGCCTCCTTGCTGAGTTGCCTGCTACAGATCCATCATTATCAGACTCTTCATTTGGTTGGATTAATATTTCATTTGGTTGCGAGTTATTGTCAATATCCTGAAACATAACAATTTGGTTCATTGATGGTATCATGGTCATTTATGATTGATGCTGGTGATATTTGCGCGTTTGATAGGCCTAATAGGTAAAGACTCCTCTGCTCAGGCCCAACCGATTAAGTAAATATTTGATATTTTAATTTTGCGTACTTACCAAGTGCTGTTGCTCTATCTGCTGCTCTTCATCCGCGCTTTCTTCGTTTTCATCCACATTTGAAACCGAAGTTCTTTGTTCGTGTTTTGTTCGTGTCACCCAAATGCCATATGTCATTCAATAGACAGAGACAAAACATGGAGTAACTAATCCATGCGTAGTCTTCGTTTATTAATAAGGGGGATTGAGTTTTGAGTTTTATCATAACTTTTAATATGACATTGCAATAAAGAAAAAGGTATTAAAATGAAGACAGTTTCAGTGATGTTTTGGAATAGGCAATAGTTATTTGAATAAGCCTCATTATATTTTTCTATAAACTCTATTACCTTTAAGTTGTCCCTCATAGTAAATATATGTTAAATACAATTTATTTTCTAGCAAGAAATTAATGATATCAAAGTGCGAAAAACTTGTGGGAATTTTGAATATTTTGAAACGCTTTAAGAGCGGTTGTGACATAAAAATATAACGAACGTGATGTTCGCAGATGACGCGTTCCACCTAGACACCGAATGCAACTTTCCATTGTGACATTTAAATGTTTACCAAAAATGTGTTTCGAAAATGGCGCGCGTTTAAACTGCCCGTGCAAAGTGGCTATTTTCAATAATTTTTAGGTTTCCGTACCTCAAAAGAAAAATAAGACTTAAGTGTTTTCCTTTGGAGCTGTGAAAAATTCAAACTTCTAAGCCGAAGCAATCAAAAGATACAGCCGTTTATGCCGCAAATTTTCGAAACTCGCACGGGAACCAAAACTTACAGGGTACTTCCCGTCGACTTAGAATCTTGAAATTTAGTACGAAGTAACGTCTTATAATACAAATAAAGGAAAAATTGCGAAAACCGTAATTTTTTAGTTACATCATATAATTTTTTATTAAATTATTAAAATATATCTACAGGTTTGCACGGAACCCTCGGTGCGCGAGTCCGACTTGACTGTTTTTTTTAGACACTATACTATTTCTTCCAAGTAGTTTTTTTTTATAACATATAAAAGAGATGTAAACTACTAGAGAAAAATATGACATATAATCATGCATATTCTTTATTACAGGAGCTTCCCAGTTTAGCATAACATTGCACTTTTATATCATATCACTTTGATTTTTCAAAATAACACACGGCTAGTTTTTATAAAAGAGATAATATAAGCGCAGTAAGTATAGTTTCGCTAAAAAGTTGTTCAATTTGTTATAGGCGCATCGCCAGTGGTGGGAGATGAAGTCATCTCACTTTGATTGTGTGCTTTTTTTCAAAGTCGGCAAGTTCTATGAGTTGTTTCACATGGATGCCGCTGTTGGAGTCAACGAACTTGGCTTTTCTTATATGAAGGTAAATTAAACTCAATTAAAATAAACAATATACCTACCTCACTTTAGTAGAAGCTGGATAAACTAAAAAAAAGGTAAGGTACAAATAGATATAGTACAATCTATATCTAATATATACAATCAGTTAAGAGCGGCAAAACTGCAGTAAAATACTCATCAACTTACTTAACTCCGCTTTGGGTGTTACCAGACCAATCGATCGATCGTCAATCGACTGTATCGATTGATGGTAGAACAGATCAGTCGACACCGTCGTCGTCAATTGGACCGCTCCCCTTTGTAATGATCATCTGCAATCAGCGTTGATCAATGCCATCGGTAGTTTTTTAGTCATATGATAATCGTCAATCAATGAAATTCAAGCTACTAGACCAGTCGGAACTTCCATCGACGTTGACCGATGTCGTCGATGGATCACTTGGCACCTAGATTTATTTTGGGATGAGAGAGAGGACCATTTAGGTAAGTTAAAAAGCTACTTGACACTTTTTGGAAATATGTTTTAGATGGTTATTGATTGTTTTATTAGACCGAAAAAAATGTATTGTACTTTTTTTTGACCTAGAAAGCTACAAAACTTTAATTTTAAAATAGATTTTTCATGGACATACAAAAACGCTGTCGGCCATTTTAGTCTATAGATTTTATCTATTCTATGACGTCAACAAAATCGTAAACAAACATTCGGAAGCACGTAGGAAATAACCTGAATCTAAATTTGTATTATAAAACCATGATTTGTAATAGATTTCATGATATATATAATAATTATTGTATTATACGAGAATGTAGAAACACATCGTTAAAGACTCCAGAAAAGTTTTGGTTTAAATTGTCTTAAGAAATACACATACCAACACATGAACACAGTCATGTTTAAAACTTGCTTAATCCTGTAATTTTACCGTTTTAACAAATTTTAAGGCTATGAATGTACCCACTAAGTCAAAGAGTTTTGTCGTTTCTGCTTTCACAAATCCGGCGTCCAGCATTAATTTAGCCAACAAAACCAATAAACGGAAAATTTTCTACAAGATGTAAGAGTTTTTAGATATATTTTAGTCCGACGAAAGACACCACAGTAACACAACAATGACGTTTAGTTGTTTACTAACAAATTACGTTAGCCACGACCGGAAACCTCAAAAAAAACCAAATCAAAAAAATTAAAATATAATCTAATTATTTTAAGTCACGACTCGATCGATTTAAGAATCGAAGTGACGCTCCTCGTCCGGTCACGTAGCCCGCTGCGGTGGAGGCACGAGGCTCGTAGTCAGCAGTTTACGCCAGTTGCGTCAATTGCAGCGACCGATATGCGATCTTTCGCTGAATCAGCTTTTAGTGTAGGGCCGTGTGCACTGTTTTGTGGGTGACTGCTAACTCGGCGTATTCCCTTCTACGTGTAATCGTAACAAACACATTTACTAACTTCTTGACGTTACAATCATGGTGGACAGCGTTTTGAGTGTTTAAAAAGCATAGACTAAAATCCTTTTATATGTATTTAGGTGCCTCATACCAAACATTATAAGATATAAACATTAGTATAGTGCAAATTGACATGAGTCAACTAGCCTATTGGTTGCGCCTGTCCTAAAAAAATAGACCCGACATTGCAACATTTTATGGATACACATGTTTTACCGATACCTCTCTTATGGCTGCAGTATCTTTTTTAAAGCTGTTTTTTTTTCAATAACTCGATCCTTGGTGTAGAGGCGTATTTACATACTAGCGGCCGCCCGCGACTTCGTACGCGTGGAGTTAGTTATTTGCACATATTTTTTGACCCCAAAAGGGGGTTAATAAACACCTTTAGAAATATCTAAAGATATATTATTAGTACACCTCTACACCATCTATAGAGCATACATATTAAATTTCAAGTCTCTTATTTCAAAAACATAGGACTTTCATACAAACTTCCAACACCCGAATTACCCCCTTAGGGGTGGACTTTCGTGATAATATGTAGCCTATATGTTGACCCGACTTCTTAATAATATTCTTGCCAAATTTGAAGTAAATCCATGCAGTATTTTTTGATTTTATTCCGGACATACATACAGACAAACAGACAAAAATTCTAATAACTATATTTTTGGCTTCGGTATCGATTATAGAGCACACCCCAAGTATTCTTTTATAAAAATACTTATTCAATGTACAGTTTTGACTTTCCTACCATTTTATTATATGTATAGATGTAGTGCACCCCTAGAATTAGAAAATCATGTAAAATATAGGTCAGTAACGAATGCCTTTTTAAAGACCTTCTTGATGACTATGATTTTTTATTTCATTTATGATTTCTGACAAGTTCTTTGAATGCTGTACACACCTATAAAAGGTGTACATAACCAGACTGTATTATTATGCATTATTTTGTCAATGCTTGTTATTTATACTGATGGTGTGTCTTAAATAAATAAATAAAATAAAGTTTCTGCAGCTGCCCCCTGACTTAGTGTCTTTTTTGGGTGTGAGAAATGGCTTCGATCCCGCCGTCGCATCTTTGTTAAAAAGTAGAATTAATTAAATAAATAAAGGTGCTCTCCCTTTATTTAAACCAAGTTTTAAATAAAACTAGTTTAAACGGGATAATGCACGAACTTTATTTATTTATTGACGTTTCGTAGCCTTTCCAGGCTTCGTCGTCAGAATAAAACTTTTGTTTAATTTGTCGAGCTACCTTCGAAAGACTTTTATTGAGCGTTTGGTTATTTCATCGTTCGATTTTTAAGTTTTATTGTCTATGTATGAATTTACGAAACGTCAATAAATAAATAAAGTTCGTGCATTATCCCGTTTAAACTAGTTTTATTTAATGAGTGATGTGCGTGAAAACCTAAGAAACAAACCAAGTTTTAATTTTAACCACATTTTAATAGTAGAGAGCAGTTAGCACGTTGTTTATCCATACGTGAATCAAGAGTTGTTTACAATTAATTGAGCATCAGTAGGAGAAAATATAGGTAGTAATCAATTCTAGAAAATTAGATTTTTCTAAGATCTTGTAGAAATAGTTTGGGTGTTCACCTTTTTTTACCAAAACTTGACTAGCAGAATGCTTTTAAAATTAAGTCCGTCTCTTGACCATTTTGTATGTATACCATGTATTGGTCAATAGAAATGAAATAGAGTTATACTTTTTTCATAGGGTGAATTCGCACATTCCGGTTTTCCCGAGAGCGCGTACTCAAGAATGGCTTCCACACTAGTTTCCAAAGGATATAAGGTGGCACGCGTGGAACAGACAGAGACGCCAGATATGATGCAAGAGAGATGCAAGAGAAGTATGTTCTTATTTATTGTACAATACATGTGATTGTGTGTGATTTATCGATCGCACATAATTAAGAGCCCGTGGCCGCCAGACCTTCGTAATTTTATAAAAGGTAAAAGTCTTTCAGTGCATGCCTGGAGCTCAGATAAGAACGATAGCTCACTATAAAAATTAGATTATCGAATGATTATGGCTAAAGAAGGTTACAGTAACAAATGTAAAATATGCTAGGCATAATTTGTGAATTATAAAACTATTTTTTTATATTTTCAATTGTCCAGTAATAGCAAATGACAACCAGACACTTATAAATGTCAATGAAATATAATTGAACTTTCGTTACAGTATAAAAGCCAATTTTAAGATATATTTTTATTATTATCATAATAATGTTTTCACAATTGCCAGACCATTTTGATGGTTCCAAACCTTAGCCAGACTAATTTAAATGTACAAGCGCCTGGCAATACTTGTCAGTAGGTGAAAGTGAAACAGAGAGCTAGGTCTTTCGCGCACTTTACTGCTGTTGCTTTGGCAGGTAACAGGTACAAAGGTGGGTAACCTTTGGTACTTGATACCTGCCAAAAGCCCCAAAATCTAAATTTCATAGTGAGCCACTGTTCTTACATGTGCTTGAGGGATGCGCTGAAAACTTTCAGCTTTTATAAAATAACGAAGGTCTGGCAGCCACGGGCTTTTAGGCTATAAGTATAAAACAAAGTCCCCTTAGTACAAAAGCTGAACTCAAAATAAAAAAAACTGAAATCGACGATTTTTACTTACGTTGTGGGTGTTGACCATAGGGTATTTTCCAAATTTTTGAAAACTGCTTACCTATATTTAAAGATTGGGACAAACGATTTAACAGAAAAATAAAAAAATAATGTCTTTTTTTCTCCATTAAACCAATTAAAGTTTAATTTATTTTTAATGGTTCTTGAATTTACCCCCAAAACGCTCGTTTTGATGATGTCTACTGTGTGACGTCAACTTTGTGTAAAGAATAAAGATATAAAAATAAGGTGTTAAACACCTATGTAGTCTGAGGACGATCTATGATTACGGAATAATTATTTGACGATTTCTTTTCTTTTAAAATATTTTGTGTAAATAACACTACATAGTATAAAACAAAGTCGTTTTCTCTGTCCCTATGTCCCTATGTATGCTTAGATCTTTGAAACTACACAACAGATTTTGATGCGGTTTCTTTGAAAAGATAGAGTGAATCAAGAGGAAGGTTTATATGTATAATACATGCATAATATAGTAGAGAAACACTGATAATTTTAGAGGTTTTTAATGTAAGGTCGTAAATAAACACATTTTTTTGCGCTTACATTGTAAACGCTGGCTGAACCCAACGAGATAGATAAAATAATGTACTACAGTATTGTACACCTTAAAAAGGTCTACAAAAAAGTCCGCAATGGTATATGCCTATCTCTTTGGTATAACCCACAATAACCATTTAGTAATTAGGTATTTAAAGAAAGTCATTGTGTTTAATAGAAGCCTGAGAACAAAAATATAGTCTAAACTACAGCTCTACACCGAAGCGAAGCGAGGGCGGGCCAGTAGTTATACTATAAATTTATACCAAACGTAAAAAAAGGGTTATAATTTGACCTTCAGTTGATTATATAGCATACACAATGTTGACGTCACACAGTAGACTTCATCAAACCGAGTGTTTTGGCGGTAAATTCAAAACCATTAAAAATAAATTCAACTTTAATTAGTTAAATGGAGAAAAAAGACATCAATTAATTTATTTTTATTTTTCTGTTAAACCGTTTGTCCCAATCTTTAAATATAAGCAGTTTTCAAAATTTTGGAAAATACCCTATTGTTGAATGCTTGGTTGGTAACATTTCAATAAAAAAAAGGATAGAAAACTTCAATATAAACTTTTAAGTATTAATCTATAACAGAAACTTCCTTAGTAATTTTGAATTCGCTACTAGTGTTTAGGGACACGATATCGAATAGAAAGTATCGATACTGTACTCATGAGTAGTATCGGAAAAAAAGTATCGTACTCGTAAAAGTATTGATACAAAAGTATCGAGTACATTTCATAGGACCTTATAAGCAATGTAGATACTCTTAAAAACGTGTAATTTAATATAATCAACTGCAAAACTAAACGTGAATTACTCAAGTACGTAAGTCTCAGGACACACTAGATTGCTTCTGCTTCCAATTTTAACAACGCAATCGAATGTTTTAGAAGGTTTGCTATGATTCCACTAGATGGCATTGCCATCAATATAAGGCGCTTATCCAAATTTTTAAAGGTATCGATACTTTTTTTAGTTTAGTTATTTAGTTGAAGTATCGAAAACCAAGTATCGAGTACAAAAGTATCGGTATCGAAAGGTAAAGTACTCGATACCACAAAGTATCGATACTTTTTTCGTGTCCCTACTAGTGTTTTTTTTTATTTGAAAAAAAAATACCCTGTCTAAAGGTAGTGTAATGTGAGTTAGGGAGTAAGGAACCCGATCTAGGGGATCGTCGCGGTATAATAATTGCTTACCCTAGGTAGGGGCCACGCCCACTCTTTCGATTGAGCCCTTCAAATTTGGTAGAGTAAATCCCGTTTAAACGCTTAGCTTAAATTAAACCTTTTATCAGTCAATACAAAATGAGCTCTATTTGTAGCGGGTCAGAACACAAAATGGGATAAAGTGGTGAGACGCGAGATCTGCCAAGTTACGCTGCGAGGGGCTCAAATATGCGGCCTTCAAGACTCCGGGCCCGCGGAAGCTAACGCTTCATACATGATGGCCATCGCTGAGGAGGTAATTTTTATATATATTATAAAAAAAACCAGAAACGTTACTGATTTTCTAAAAAACTGACTAAAATAGCCTATCAGTATGATCTAAGCTGGGTCTCCAGCAAGAGTTTCTTGAAAACATTCAACCTAAACATTTAAACAAAGCTTTGTTTCTGAAACATGTTTACCCACATAGTATTAAACATTTAAAAAAAAAGAGCAAGTGTTCATCTAGTGTAGTGTAGTGCGCACTTCAAAATTTGAATCATAAGCTGCGCTCGGTATCTGCATCGCAGAGGCGACGAATTTTTGATCACGTGATCACAGATTAATCTGAGTATTTTTTTATGGTACATCGTACAAAAATACATAGAACCCTTTTTCACCCTTCTTCTACCAACCCCTATTTTTTATGGCGGTACGAAGTTCGCTGGGACAGCTAGTTTTTTATATAAATGCGTTTCTAGGAAGGTAACAATACAAGCAGTTTCGGGGTATGTTTCTTGGACACATCAATAGGCATATTCCACCTCGGCCAGTTTCAAGATGACAAGCATTCGTCGAGGTTGCTCACTACGTTGGCGCACTACCCGCCTGCTTTGGTAAGTATTAATATTATTGTATTTTCTTACGTTGTCACCGTCTAACTGTGGCTACAATTCCAACGCGTACAAAGAAATTTGGTGACTCATTTCTTTGTCGTACTATCCGTAAATGGAATGCTCTGCCCGCTCACGTGTTCCCTTCCTCTAACAAACTGGAATCCTTTTAAAGAGGCGTGAAGAAGCAACATGCAGGCCGGCAGGGTGAGGATGGCTGGTGTGGCAGGTAGAACTGCTGTATCAGCTATCTTCGCGTCTGGACTTCACCTTCACTTAACATCAGGTGGGGTGGAGTCATTTGACGGACCTATCTATAAAAATAAAAAAAGCATTAACTGCTGGATGTTTATATCTAACGGCCTAAGCTGCGTTAAGTGGGAGCACGAAGCGGATATGCGCTCCGCGTGCAGTTTTTGGGTAATTTTTTAGAACAACGCGGCGCGGGAGAGCCTCCACATGGCGCTGCCTCATGGCGCGATTGCATTTGGTCGTTAGCTCGAATACGAGTGCTAATAAATAAATAAATAGCCCCAAAGTAAGCACTGAAAGGCTTGTGTTATGGGATACTAGGGTAATGGATAGAATACATATATACAGTACATACATAAGTATTGTACATTTACATTAAAATACATATTAAACATCCATGACTGTAGTATAAATATGCTCGTATTCATCACACAAACATCTGCCCCCCCGGGATTCGAACCCGGGACCTCTCGAGTCAGCGGCACCGTGAAACCCGGCGTACAAACCACTCGGCCACAGAGATCGTCAACTAAGCTAATGAAATTGGGATAAATGACTAAGTGTAAATGAACCGAGTCGAGTACGCCCGTATTCGGGTAGTTTTCGTTTTGGTTACCCGACACCAGCTCGTAAGTAAGCTCGTGGTGTAAATATGACTCCGTGTGCCCGAATTCGAGTAATGGTTTTCGTCCACCCGAATACAGGCTAACGACCAAGTATAATCGAGCTATAAGTGTACATGACCGGAGTCGTGTATGTTGTGTTGTATTGTATCTCTCTATCAAAACATAATCTATCCTGTATTCGGGTAGATTTGATATATTTAATTTGATATAATGTCTTTCGTGTAGCCGAATACGCGCTATCGAAAAAATGAATTTGCGCCATTACGTAGCGCTGCTCTATGATTTAATATGAAACAAATACGCCGAGCGGACGCCAGCTCCCGCTTAACGCAAAGCAGGTTTTTAAGAAAATTTTACTAGAAAAATTCAACTCTTGTCTAGGTTTGAGACGGTATTCGAACCCACATCTTCCGCTATCCAGGCGGGTTCGAATCCCGGCTGAAACCTGCCCCCCTCCCTAGCATGAGCACCGCGATATGATATAACGCGTTTTTATGACGCTCAATTGTCAAATTACTATGAAATTTGACAATTAGACGCGATAAAAAACATGATATTGGTGCTCATGCTACGGGGACTGGACCGAGTAGATTTTTCTAGTAAAATTATTTAAAGTAATAATATTGTTAACAAGGGGCCGTTCATAAAATACGTTCGAATTAAAATTCATGCAAGGGGGGGGGGAGGAGTCTTGCTAAGTGTGACAAGATGTGACAAGGGGGGACGGGGGGTCTACGGCAACGTGACGTTCGTCGTTCATTAAAAAATTTTGAATTAGTATTTCTTTCAACTATTTTTCTTTCTCAATTTTCATCAAGATAGAAAATCACTTATTTCGTATTTAGTAAACATATAGACATTCAAACGTATATAGTTTTATTATACACAGGGCCGTGCCTGGGTATATGGCCGCCTGCGTGCCAGTCTGTATGGCCGCCCCCAGGATAACATTAAAAAAAACTACTTTAATTTTTAATGTTTATTATTATACACAGGGCATCAAACCGGGAAAAAAATCAGTTTTTGGTTAACCGAAATCGAGAACGAAAAAAAATATTGGTTTTGTTCCCAAAACCGGTTTCTGAAAAGAAAAACCGGCTAAAAACCGGTTTTATGAGATTTATATGTTTGGATGAAATTTAAGAAAAAAAATGCACAAAATAAACATTTTTTTATTTAAAATTTAAACAAAAATAATAACATGAAAAAAATTATGGTATTGGTTTTATAATCACAGACAAAATTATCAAACATAAAGAACAAGGAATAATAATGAAAACAAACCGATTGTATTTTTGCCCAGTAAACAACTTGTAACGATTAGGCCGCCTCTTAATTTCGGCCGCCTGCGTGCGGTGCACGCAATGAACGCCCGTCAGGCACGGCCCTGATTATACAATAAATTGTAACTTGATATATTTACTCATGTTTATTTTTCGACATTAGCGCATATTTATATATTGAAATTTTATTATAAAAACTAAATAAATATTTAAATTCTTAAAATTTGTGTACTATCAATTGAAAATAATCATACTTGGTGAGGGGGGGGGTCTCCGTTTTTGTGACGGAATATTTCAAGAGGGGTCACAGAAAGTGTGACACAGCATGACAATAGGGGGGGAGGGGGTCCGAAAAGCTGATTTTAGCGTGACGTATTTTATGAACGGCCCCCAATTGATAAAGATCAATATTTAAACCAAGTAATATAACAAAATGAACATTTTGAATCGTGTCTATTTTTCCGTGTTTATCTTAGTGTTTTTTCACTAAGCTATTATTAACTGAGATAGTACAGTGCACGAAGATATCTTAGACCGTTGAAGTGAGTTAGTTCTAAACACTATTAATCAATTAAAAACTCAAAAATGATAAATGATTAATTCCCTCTTTTTAAAAAAAGCTTTCAACGAAATAATAATTATTTTATGTCTTCATAATAAACTTTTTCTCAATATGAAAACTGTAAATCGTATTTTATATGATTTTGTAAGAAATACCCGAACGTAACTTACAATATGTAATCACAAATATCTTACAATCTTCTCTGTTAATTCAACTAGATAATATTCGACCGTAAAACAACAACTGCTAAAGTGAGCAAATTGTTGAGCACACATTGCCACAGCGCTCGTCGCGAGGCACAGAATCTGTGGCCTCCGGAGAAAACATTAAAGATTCTAGCCGAGAAATATTACAAGACTAACGCGGATGGCGATTGGCCAGAGGGGATAAGACCTTACCTACATGATGGTGAGTAATTATTCAGCAAATAAATATTATTATTATTATGTATATTAGGTATATGTAGGTAACAGAATCATTGACCGCGCCGCCGCCGGCGAAAACGCTAATGGTTCTAGTCAAGAAATATTACAAGACTAACGCGGAGGGGATAAGGCCTTTCCTACATGATGGTGAGTTAATATTCAGCAAATAAATATTAGCATTGACATTAGAAGGTAGCAGAATCTGTGGCCGCCGGCGAAAACACTAATGATTCTATTGGAGAAATATTACAAGATTAACGCGGATGGCGATTGGCCAGAAGGTATTGACTATAGTTCGAATTTTACTAGAAAAAATTCCACGCGGACCAGGCAGCAGACGGGACCCGCACCCTCCGCTAAACAGGCGGATGCACTGACCATTATGTTACCGCGGCCTTGACGACCGTGTCGAATTCTTTTTAGTATTTTTAGGTTGCAACGCAGTGCTATCTCTTCGGATTGTTCGTATCCCACAAAGTCAAATGTATACCTTTACAAGTATTAATTATAATCTACCTGGTGAACGAGGATTAATTTATGTTAAATTACTCCAATGAAGCCTAATTTTAACAATCTTCATTGAATCTAAAGGACGGAAATTTCTTGCGCTTTAATTTCGTAGTTCTTAGTGTTACTTATCATTATTTTAACCGGGTTCGAGCGATTATCGTCCTAAAGAGGCTGAGAGAGGCACTCGCCTTCGCCTTTTGCGTTTGATTTATTAAAATTTTCCTTTCCAGGTGATGCCTTAGGGCTTACTCCGGCGGCTCATTGTTCTTTAGCCGTCAAAGCTTTAGGTGGCTGCGTTTTATACCTAACAGATTGTCTGCTAGACATACAAATACTGGGCATGGCACAGTTTAACTCATACGAACCCCCCGACGTGCTAAACAAGACCTTGTCTCAAGAGAACACGGTCGATAATCGGTGGGAAGGCGGCAGCAGTATGGTACTTGATGCTATTACTTTGAGGAATTTGAGAATAGTACAAGACGAGGGCTGTTTGTATGATAAACTGAATTTCTGCTCCACAGCTATGGGGAAAAGGTATGTTTTTGATAATGCCGAGATCGACTTGTTTTTGATAATGCCTCACTATAAAGATAAATAATCTTAATCGATATCTAATGCAACACTGCCCCTCTAGCATGACCACCGAAACGGGATATGATAAAGCGATATATCGACATTAACTGTCAGACCACTATGGAGTTTGACAGTAGTCTGACAGTTAATGTCGATATATCGCTTTATCATATCCCGTTTCGGTGGTCATGCTAGAGGGGCTGGTGTTGAAAAAGCATGATACTCTAACCTTAAAACTAAATTTAACATCAGTGTCTCCTTTTCATTCTGTATAATAGTAATAATATTAAAGTTATTTATTTTCACTTCAAATTACAAGCGTTCCCTCGAAACAATCAGTGGATGCATTAATTGATTTTCTAATGTTAAGAGGTAATCGTTGACAGTTGTAATAGTAAAAACTGTGGCACAGCTGCCAGCACCCCCAGAACTTTAAACTAAAAGCTTGTTACAATTAAGTCTCATACAAAACAACACTGTTTTAATGTTTATATTAAACAAGGAGTGATAATAAGAGATCAGCATCTGACAAAATCTTCTGTATCCTTAAAATTCAACTTTAAGAGCCATTCACGAAGCTTAACCTTACATTTATGTAATGGCAGTGAGTATATATTGTTAATTTTATTTGCTTTATTGTATTATGTGCAGGCACTTACATAGAACACTTACTTACGTATAGGGAACACTGTTGTCAAATTTAAGTTGAGGTTTAATTAAAGAATCATGCCAGAATTGACACTCTGATTAGTTATAATAAAAAAATGTACATTTACACAATTGTAACATAAAGGCACAGACACAAATGCAAGCCGATACATGTGCTAGAATCTAGATTTATTCTTTCAGCCAGCATGTGACTTTAAATAACTGTATGGACTGCAATAGACTTTTACTAGTTGCATTTCCAGTGCAGCTAGTTCATTAATTTTATTCACTTATTTAATTGGCTCATGTTTAAATGATTATAAAAAAATAGTAAAGTATCACCAAAAAAAATACAACTAATATTTCCCTATTTAATTCTAAATGGCAATACCAATGGGTATGTGCACCTATTTGCAATCTCTCAGTTATAAAGGAACGACAGCAAGCCGTGAAGACGGTTCTAGGGAACCAGGAGATGTGCCAGGAGGCCAAGAATGTGCTCACCACACTGCTGGATCTGGATTTTATTTGTACATTAAAAGAAGTTTTAAAAATCTAAGCTCCCTCAGCACACCTTCTGTATCCATTATTGTGTGCCGTGGAGTTATGTTCATACATATATAGTGTTTAATTGCATCAAAACTGGCCAACTGGCCAACAATCAAGATAGATTCCCGTTTTTTAAATTGTTAAGTTACAATAACAGAAAGAAGACCTTGATGGTGCAAGTGGTTAGCGCGTTCGGCTGCGATCGTTGGAGTTGAGCAACTTTCGCAGTGGTCGGTCATTGGATGGGTGACCAAAAATTTACTATCTCGTGCTTCAGAAGGCACATTTAGCCATCGGTCCCGGCTGCATATGCAGTCGTTAGCACCCACCAATCCGCGCTGGACTCACGTGGTGAGTCATGACCCACTCTCCCTATTCCATCTACAGGAAAGGACTGTGCCCCAGCATTGGGAATATTAATAGGCTGACGATGATGATGAATTGAAGTTACTTCAATAGATGCTAAAACAGTCCTTAGATAGACGTTTTGAAAGTGTGAGAACCAGGTTATTTTAAAATGCTTGTTTAATTCTAGATGGCTATACCAGTGGGTATGTGCACCTAGTTGCAATCTGTCAGTTATTAAGGAACGCCAGCAAGCCGTGAAGACGGTTCTAGAGAATCAGGAGATGTGCCAGGAGGCCAAGAATGTGCTCACCACACTGCCGGATCTGGAACGACTGTTAGCTAAGTAAGCGCTTAATCTATACATATAATAAAACGGTAGGAAAGTCAAAGCTGTACGTTGAATATTTTTTTAAAAGAATATTAGGGGTGTGATCTACAATCGATACCGAAGCCAAAAATATAGTTTTTAGAATTTTTGTCTGTTTGTCTGTATGTATGTCAAGGATAAACTCAAAAAGTACTGCATGGATTTACTTCAAATTTGGCAAGAATATTATCAAGAAGTCGGGTCAACATATTATAGGCTACATATTATCACGCTATCATCTACGGGGAACGAGCAGTGAACCTTTATTTCTAACTAACTCCACGCGTACGAAGTCGCGGGCGCTAGTGCTTAAATAAATAAAACTCATTTTAAAAGTGACTTCTCATAATAATCTTTTTACATTTTTTATGTTTAAAGCTTGCGATATCAAAAATTTCACTCGCGCCGTTGTCTACCCTGACCCAATACTTCTACCCCGTGGAGCCCTGGAACCTTATTCATTGACAGAAATAGCAAAGTTTATTATTTAATGAAAAATATGAATATATATATATATGTGTGTGTGTACAATATATACATGTATGTACATATACATATTTCATTTACTAGCTATAAGAGAAAAAGAGAAAGGAAATGTGCGTGCGTACTGCTTTCTCTTGCTTATATCCCCCACTCAACTCCCGTTAGCCTCGCCCGAACACACTTTTCGTAACACGTAACGCATTAGCCAGCTTACCCCACAAATCAAGCGTGCGCAAAGAAGTTTCACTTCATAAAACTGGATGTTTTGGAATGACGGGTGCCAAACTGCTTAAAATATCGTCATCGTATGAGAACCTTGTTAAAAGCTCGCTAGATGAATTTCTTCCAAAACCTTATTTATGTAGGACCTCATTCCACAATGTCTTAATTTTTATTAAACTACTCACTCACACCTGATGGCTCCAATTACATTAGATCGTTAGCCCGTATTCGGGTGCACGAAAGATATTACTCGAATTCGGGCACCCGAAGCAATATTTACACTGGAATACGGTTCGGAAGTCGGTGTCGGGTAAACAAAATAAAACTTACCCAAATACGAGCGTACTGGACTCAGTTCTTTTACACTTTGTCGTTTACCCGAATTCCATTGGCACTCGTATTCGGGCTAACGACCAAGTGTAATCGCGCCATAATATTATCTCAAGAACTACTGGTTCGATTAAAAAAAATCTTTTTGTGTTGGATAGTGCTTATATCGAGGAAGGTTATAGACTATATAATAAATTGTCTATAAGCCTAGCGTCGACATCACGCTACGAACAGTAGGAGCGGACTATCGATGTAAAATGTTTCATTTGAGAGCTTCCGTTGCGTCTGCTGCTTAAAAAAATCATGGTTTAACGGATTGTTCCCCTTTAAAAGTTCTTTAAAGAAGTCCGCATCAGCATATGACTTCATCAGTTTTTAAGTTATACTCACTCACTTATAACTTTTTTCCTCAAATTAACCATATTTATCGACCGTTAGGCGACACGAATTTCGCCAGGTCCGCTAATCACACTAATATTATGCAGGCAAAAGTTTGTGAGTGTGTACGTTTGTTACTTCTTCAGGTCTAAACGGTTGGAGCAATTTTAATAAAATTTGGTATGGAGTATTATGACGCCCTGGATTAACACATAGGCTACGTTTTACTGCGGGAAAATATCCCTGATTAACCGCGGGTAACACCGCAGGGCACAGCGAGTATATAATATGTAACTGTATAAAATTTATAAAATAATGAATAATCACCATCACAAAATTTATTGCAGAGTTCACAGCCTGGGAAGTTTAAAACGATCCAAACAGCACCCGGATGCTCGAGCTATATTCTACGAAGAGAAAATTTATTCCAAGAAGAAAGTGCTAGACTTTATTGCAGTACTGAACGGGTTCAAAGCAGCTTTGAAACTAGTTGAACTTTTCTCTGATGTTGATTCTACATTGTTGAGAAATATAACACAGTTTGCTCCCGATGGAAAATTCCCAGATTACAGAGACACTTTGAAGTTCTTTATGGTAAGTGTAATCTACACTGTTATTTTTGATTACAATGGACATCCTTTTGTGAATAAACTTTTTATATTCCGAGAATATATTTGTTTCCAACTTTTGTTGTTAAATAAAGCGTAATTAAAAATGATTCTTAAACAATATATCGCTACATTATATTAAAAATCCTACAGTATGTTGACAATGAAGTCTATCCTTAAGACTTGAAGGAGCAAATAAATAAACTTTTTGTAATAAGGAGCAAATAAATAAACTTTTTGTAATAAGGAGGATCTGGCTATAAAACTGATATCAAATCTGCCCCCCTAGCATGAGCACCGCGATATATATAACGCGTTTTTATCACGGTCAATTGTCAAATTACTATGAAATTTGACAGTGAGACGCGATTAAAAACGTGATATAATGTAAATTGTGATGGTCCTGCTATGGGGACTGGACGGAACAACAAAAGCCAATAGGAATAATTCCATTATTCATCACTATGTGCTTGCGTTAGCTGTTTGTGATTCTTACTTGCGGTTAGATGATTGTGAAAGTAACCTACATTTATTTAGAGTCCTGCATTTATAGCTGGTGTCCCAGGGCCGTAGAGAGTTGTATTTGAGGAGCTAGCGAAAAAAACGGTATAGTTACGCATATGGATTTGACCATAGATTACTTTATTTTTACAGTCCAGAGGTTTTGGATCAGCTGAATTTGAATTTCAACTCATGTCAATCAAAACCGCCTACAAAAGTGTTAAAATTACTAAATTAAAAATCACGCCAAAAGCTCACTTTAGGTGTGTCATTCAGTTTTTTACTGCTTCTGTGAAATTTAATTGATGTAATTATACCGTTTTGTTCGCAAGCTTCCATAGGGCAGCGTTAATAGGGATTATCATCCCGGGCGGGGTAATTAAAGTACCCAAAATTGTGTTAATTCCATCAGTTAGATTAACAAAAAAAAACAACGTGCTTATGACCACACGACTGAAGTGAAACTTTATACATAAACATATTTCATTTACTAGCTATAAGAGAAAGAGACAATGCGTGTGAGCGCGCACTACTTTCTCTTGCTTGTATCCCCCATTCAACTCCCGTTCGCCTCGCCCGAACACACTTTTGGTGACGCGTAACGCATTCGCCAGCGTATTCCCCAAGTCAAGCGTGCGTAAAGAATTTTCACTTCTATAATGGACACGTTTTTTTTTTGGCAATCAAATAACGCAATACTTCATCTAATATAAAGGAAGCATTCGACCATCAAGAGGCCGAGAAGGAAGGCCGCTTACTGCCCGGCGTGGGCGTTGACCCCGAGTACGATAACACGTTGCGATTGATCGAAGATATACAAGATGAACTTAAAGAATACCTCAAAGAGCAGGAGAAATACTTCAAGTGCCGGGTAAGTTGTCTGTGTTAAAGACTCAACACGTCAAGTGCCAGGTAAGTTGTCCATGTTAAAGACTCAACACATTATGTGCCGGGTAAGTTGTCTATGTTAAAGACTCAACACGTCAAGTGCCGGGTAAGTTGTCTATGTTAAAGACTCAACACATCATGTGCCGAGTAAGTTGTCTATGTCAAAGACTCAAAACGTCAAGAGCCGGGTAAGTTGTCTATGTTAAAGTCTCAACACGTCAAGTGTCGGGTAAGTTGAATATTCTAAGATTCAACACGTCAAGTGCCGGGTAAGTTGTCTATGTCATAGACTCAACACGTCAAGTGCCGGGTAAGTTGTCTATGTTAAAGATACAATACGTCAAGTGCTGGGTAAGTTGTCTATGTCAGAGACTCAACGCGTCAAGTGCCGGGTAAGTTATCTATGTTAAAGACTCAACACGTCAAGTGTCTTGTAAGTTGTCTATGTCAAAGACTCAACACGTCAAGTGCCGGGTAAGTTATCATTGTTAAAGACTCAACACGACAAGTGCCGGGTAAGTTGTCTATTTTAAAGACTCAATACGCGTGCACAATGTTTTCTACAGGTTACATTTCGGGGAGTGTGCACAAGAACTCATCATCATCAGTCTATTAATGTCCCCACAGCTGGGGCACAGGCCTTCTCTATGGATTGAATAGGGAGATTAGAGAAAGCATACAAACGCATTTTAACGAACGTGCGTAAAAAGCAAAACTGTAATTACGACACTCGCACATAAGCAATGACACAATACACCGACTAATCTTGCACACATATATCGTTTGTTTTGTATGCCCAATCCGACAGAAGGGAAAGATGAGTATGCCTACTTCCCTCTTGACCGTGTTGCTCTATTTATAGGGTTAATTTTAAAACACCAACCTCTTAGGAGGTGATTCTAACCATCAACAGGAACAACTTTTATTATGGGACCAATGCTGAAATCGCGAAAAAAAAATCTGTTTCATACAAAAGTGCATCAGCTAATCGATCGAAATGTATGAAACAGCTGTATTTTTTTTCGCGATTTCAGAGTTTTTCCCATAATAAAAGTTGTTCCTGTTGATGGGTAGAATCACCCCCTAACAGGTTGTTGGTGTTTTAAAATTAACCCTGTATATATATATTATCATACTACAGTTTAAGTGGTTAAATACATTTTAAGCGATAATCATTCATTATAATTCATTATTCATTATAATAAGTAAAGGATGGAGTACCTAGTTATAAAATCTGACTAAATTGAAACTTATGAAACTAACGAAATGGAAATGATTACTAATTCGTTTAGTATGAGATTCTCAAAAAAACACACAAACACAAATATATAATTATTTCAATTTAAATGTTTTCTTACTTTTGGTTAGTTAGTTAGGTACTTTAGATGGTTTCGATAAAGCTAATTTTTGTGCATCCCCATGACAAATTTATGTCATGGATGGAGTCGCTGACGGTTGTGACACAGTTAATACTAGTACAGCCGTCAACGAACCTCTTATATGTGAATTATATTTAATATTTAATTCCCCTAATTAGTATATAGGAGCAATTGTAACTTTTAAGATAAATAAACCATTATTATTATTAATGTGTAACATCTTTACTCTCGCTTTCCTGCAATTTGTGGGAGTGATTTCGTGAAATGGGACGGAAGTGTGTAACAGGAAGTCGCGAAAGCGCGCGCTATTTGATTTGATGTTAGAACATAATGTTCAAATGGTTTATTCCTTTTGTAGTAGGTTTTATTTATTTTTTTACTAGTATAAGGTGCGGTTTCAAATGTTACACATCATACGCGACTACTGTAAGGCTCGCTCGTTTTTTATTAAATAATATCTGTTCTTCAGCTCAACTACGTAGGTTCGGACAAGAAACGCTACCAGATCGAAGTGCCTCAGAGTGCAGCTTCCAAGGCCGGATCCGATTACCACATGGAGAGCGCCAGGAAGGGATACAAGCGGTTCTCTACTGCCGAAACTAAGGTAAACTTAATGCAGTTTATATTAACATTATTATAATAGAATAATGATGTTTCCATGTGGTAGTGTTATAAAAAAAATGACAATTGATGACATCCATATTTAGTATGTAAGTATGAATTTTGGGAGTAAGCCACGACTTATTAATTAAATAATATTTCCAATACCCACACCAATTAGCCTAGCTCCAAAATTCTTTTATTTAGAGGTTCCATGTTTGTTTACGAAGTATACAAATAATTATAAATCAAATTTCCAGCGTTCAAACTAAACTTGTTTTCTTTTAAGTGTATTGTTTTATTACTATTGTTATTTATTTTAATGTAATTATTGTATTGCTTTACTTAATTTTGATATGGATCTCGTGTCTGAAATAAATGCTATTATTATTATTATAATATTAAACTAGATCTCTCTTAACAGGATTTCCTCGCCCGCATGATGGCAGCCGAAGAACAGAAGACAAACGTTCTCAAAGATTTAAGCCGTCGAATGTTCTCGAAGTTCTCCTCGCACTACAACCAATGGGAGGGCGCGGTGAAGAGTATAGCGATATTGGATATCGTCCTCTCGCTCAGCGAGTTCGCGAGGCAGCAGAGTGGAGATATATGTCTGCCTGAAGTGAGCTTCGATGTGGAGAAAACGGTGAGATATTTATATCAGAGGGCCTGATTTTGAGATTTGTAAATGGAAAACATACTAAAAAAAATGCGATTGCGAAAGTAGACTCTTCAGATGAGAAACATTGAAACTAATTTTTAAAAGAATATATAGTTAGAAATGAAAATGTAAGTAAAAAAAACGTAAGTTAGATAGAATCCCTATTTAAAAACAACCAAAGAAAAGAAATAAAAACTAAACACATGTTGAAGTCTCACGATCGAATTCAAATCTTTCTCGATTCTCACAGTCAGTATTAGTGCAACAGTTTTTAAATAATGCTGACATCATTTTCGTTTCATTCAATCTATCACTTAGGTCTGAAAATGCACTGAAACGTCAAGTACATATTATAATTCTAGAATTTCCAAAAGTATTTCACAAGTTATTATGAGAAAAATTACATAATAATTTTCTTTATTCAGCCGTTCATAAACATGTGGAAGTTCATCTTTTACAATTATGGAAGAAGATAATGATGTACGATTGATAAATGTTTTGAGACAAAAACAAAAAAAAAAGGAAGCGCATAATCTTAGTCTTTGACCATGGAGTTCAATGACGAAAATATGAATTATAAAATATCTAAAACAATTTCATAATAATTTCTTATGTAAAGACATGCATAAAAATGCACACCACTCATTAAATTCTTTTCAACAGGTTTAAAAATAATTAAAACCATATTCTTGACAACACTCCCTGAAAAGGCTGCGATTAAAAACACATTTAAAACCCATTGAAAAGTTGTTTCATCTTATAATTCCATTAGTTCATCATTATCATCATCAGCCTATTAATGTACCCACTGCTGGGGCACAGGCCTTCCCTATGCATGGAATAGGGAGATTGGGCCATGACCCACCACACGGGCCCAGTGCGGATTGGTGAATGCTAACGACTGCAGATGCAGCCGGAACCAACGGCTTAACGTGCCTTCTGAAGCACGAAGGAGCTACTACATATACTATCTCGAGATAGTAAATGTTTGGTCACACATACAATGACCGACCACTGCGAAAGTTGCTTAACTTCAACGATCGCAGCCGAACGCGCGAACCACCTGCGCCATCGAGCTCCTCCATAAGTTATTGATGTGTAACATCTTTCCTCTCGCTTTCCTGCAATTTGTGGGAGTGATTACGTGAAGTGGGACGGAAGTGTGTAACAGGAAGTCGGGAAAGCGCGGGTTTTTTGATTTGATTTTAGAGCATAATGTTCAAATGGCTGATTCCTTTTGTAGTAGGTTTTATTTCTTTTTTTACTAATATAAGGTGAGGTTTCAAATGTTACACATCATACGCGACTATTGTAAGGCTCGCTCGTTTTTTTTTGAGTTTAATCCCCCTTTCTTTATATACAGCCGTTCATAAACATCGTGGAAGGCCGTCACCCGTGCATTCCCATAGTAAACGAGTTCATCCCCAACGACACGCGTCTGGGTGTTAACGGGCCCAGTCTGCTGCTGCTCACCGGGCCTAACATGGGGGGCAAGTCCACACTCATGCGACAACTCGGCCTGCTCACGGTGCTCGCTCATTTGGTAAGTCTATAAACAAATCTATATATATATATATCTTCTTTATATATATAATTCTTCTGTGAGTGTGTATGTCACTGAACTTCTCTTAAACGACTGGACCGATTTTGATGAAATTTTTTGTGTGTGTTCAAGCGGATCTGAGAATGGTTTAGATTCAAAATTTTGTCCGCTGGACAACCCCTATTTTTTTAGGGCGGTACGAAGTTCGCTGGGTCAGCTAGTATATATATATAAATCAATGGCTGCTCGTTAGTCTCGCTAAAACTCGAGAACAGCTGAACGGATTTATCTTATCTTGGTCCTGAAATGTTCGTGGAGGTCTAGGGAAGGTTTAAAAGGTGAAAAATATGGAAAAATTGCAAGGAAGATAGTAAAAACGTCAATTTAATTTTCCCATATAAACTGTTCTATCTTCTTTCCTGTCAAACATTTGACGTTCGTCCCTTTTGGTACGGTAGACTCGGGTCCGTCATTTCTTCCAAATTATTTTGACCCGTACCAAGTACGCGCGGTCAACTAGGAAATAATAAACATTTAATATTTTTTTCTAGTAAAATTTTCTTTAGATTTAAACATCTAGCAGTTAAATGCTTAAAAAAATCCGAAAATATAATTAGTTTGATATGCATTACCTCACTACACAGCAAAATGTCGCTGTCTGTAGAACAGGCAGGATTAGATTTTTGTCATTTGTCAGAAATCCGAATAAATTAAATCGTAAGTGAGATTGCATCTTACAAAATACCTGTAGTCTGTAGGGTAGCTACGTTCCCGCGCAAGAGTGCAGCCTCAGTTTGGTGGATCCGATATTCACTATTTAATTCTAATATTACATTCTGTCGGGCCAGGTCTTTTTCCTGCCTAGATTTTACTACCACTTAATGAATAAAAACGAACCTATCACATTCAATGTAAGGACCATAATATTTGAACGCCAGCCCGACAGTTTAGCCTGAATTTAACCTCCATTTTGCTACTGTTGAATTATAAAAACCATATAGTGGTTAATTATTAAACTCCTGTACCCTTCTTAGTACGAGTTTTACAATTACGAAAACTATAATAATTTTCGTGAGCTCGCACTCGTACTAAGGGTACTGATTTTATTGTTTTCGTTTCAATACAAATAGACAGTGTTTAAATTCTACCATTAAATCATTTGCGTCTTCTTAAATTTTAAGTATATTTGGTTACTTTTCACCAAAATGGACATAGAAACATAATTTACAATTACGAAAACTATGATAGTTTTCGTGAGTTCAAACTCGTACTAAGGGTACTGAATAAGATTCATAATACTTAAACAGGGTAGCTATGTTCCCGCACAAGAATGCAGCCTCAGTTTAGTGGACCGCATATTCACTAGACTCGGCGCTTCGGATGATATTCTGTCGGGCCAGTCCACTTTCCTGGTGGAAATGAACGAAACCGCCGCCATTGTGAAGCACGCTTCGGTGCATTCGCTTGTGCTGCTCGACGAATTGGGTAAGTTTATAATTATACTACTAGCCGACCCGGTGAACACGAGGGCACGTGCCCCTCCAGGCGGTATTTTAGTATATCCAGTAGATGCCTACAATAGGGCAACAGTGCTGCCAAAAATAAGAGCTCTGTCAATTGCTGTGCACGTCTCCAGTGACTACTAGCACTGCGGAGAGATCTTTCTCTGCCTTACCCCGATTAAAATTATACGTTCGCAACAGGATGACAGAAGAGCTTTTAAATGGATTTTCTTAAATGCATATTCATCAAGACGAGCGGCAAAAATGGACTCTAATGAACTGCCTTTTATTAAACATTAAATTTTTCTATTGTTTTGACAATTTCATAAACTTTCGGTAATACTTGAATTGTTGATTTTTTTTTGCACAGGCGCTACTTGTGCCCCTTCCAGAAAAAAACCTGGATCCGCCCTTGCTATTGACTATTTTTAAAATACTCGTAGGTCGCGGCACGTCTACATACGATGGTACGGCCATAGCGTCCGGCGTTTGCGCCGAGTTAGCCGACCGGGGCTGTAGAGTGGTATTCTCTACCCACTATCATTCGCTGGTGCATCACTTGGCTTCGCATCCGGGGGTCGTGTTGGGGCATATGGTGAGTGTACTTACATTTTTTTTGTTATTAAGCTGTTCAATAGGGATGATGATGACAAGATAAAGTAAACGAAATTATATTTAGTCAGTTATTTAAATAATCAGAAAAGTGACGATTATTGTTTGAAGTGAAAATTCTTTTCGGACGTGGTGTGAATGGAGAAATCCTATGGATAAGATGAAACGGAAATACGTATGTGTGTGGGATCCGTGCCTGCACTGCTCCATTCGCCTATGCCTTATGCATCGCCTAATGTAAACATCCTAATGTTTAAGAAAAGAAATTTCGCTTCAGATGTGTGGTCCGTGCACACAATTTTTTTATTCTTTTGTCATTAATATACCTAATAAAGCGCGTCAAAATTTGGGAGTGGGAGGCTCGTGTCGTCTCAGAAAAGTCTAATAAAAATATGCAAATACATTTCTAATTTAAGTTTAGAATTAGTTGAACCTGTAAGTGAATGAGAAGGTAGGGCAGGATAGGCAGGGGGGTGCATATTTATAGTTAGCCTAGGGCGGTCAGAATTTTAAATCAGGCACTGCACCCATCATAATCAGCCTATTAATGTCCCCACTGCTGGGGTACAGGCCTTCCCTATGGATGGAATAGGGAGATTGGGCCATGACCCACCACGCGACAACGACTTCCTTGATCCCCTTCAAAGTTGAAGCGAGTGTTAATATTACACTAGCTCGTCTCGTTCCGGCAGGCGTAGAAGCACTGTTGGATTTTTAGTGGATAGCCCCCCCCCCCCCCCCGCTCGTCCCGAGCAGCCGCTGAGCCAGTTTGGCTGAGTGGGTGGGCGGAATGAGGAGTCCCATATAACCCCGCCTCTCACCCAGGAGTGGGGTATACGTCAAGCATTATCCCAACAATAAAAAAAAAAGTTAGGCAACGCCAGCGGCGCAAGTGATATTTTTGACATCGCAAGCGTTTATAGGCTATGGTGTAGTTATCAGGCGGGACATACGCTTGTTTGCCAACCTTTTAACATAAATAAAGCACAGCACGACCACTGGAGTCCGCATTATCCAATTTTAATTGAGGAGCTGGCGAACAAAACGGTATAATTACATATACAATATAAAACTGAATGACATACCTCCAGTGAGCTTTTGGCGTGGTTTTTAATTTAGAAATTTAGTAATTTTAACACTGTTTTAGGCGGTTTTGACTGAAAATTATTGAAACCTCCGGACTGGTAAAAAAAAGTACGTTTGTCCAGATACATAATTATACCGTTTCATTCGCCAGCTCAGCAATTGATACTTTGCTATTTTTATATACAATAACAATAATAATAACATTTACTTTCAGGCGTGCATGGTTGAAACCGACGAGTCAACGCCGGACAACGAAGACGACATACCAGAGGAGACGATCACTTTCCTATACAAACTGTCCCCTGGAGCTTGTCCCAAATCTTACGGGTTTAATGCAGCCCGTTTGGCTGGCGTTCCTAAGGAAATAACCAGGCGGGCACATAACGTTTCCAAAAGTCTAGAGATTGAAGCTAATTGTGCCAGAGCTTTCAGGGACATGATGAAGTTGGAAGACCCGAAGAGAATCAGGGAGATGCTGGCAGCGTTGAGCATTTGAGATTCGTAAATTAGCATAGTAACAAAAATTTGAAAATTTGAACCCTACTGGCTGTTTGATAAAAAATATTTGATGTAGGCACTTGCACTGCTTCGTATTTGTTACTTGTAAGCTTGAGTGTAAAAAATCCTATGACAAAAACTAAAACTACGCATTCTGTACACCCAAACAAGTAATATTACAGAATATTAAACGTGGGAATCATTTGTATTTTTAAGTTAAAAAAATCCAGTACGGAATGTATAGCGCGGCGCTACGATGGGGCTACGCAAAGAATGTGCCTGTGTGTATGTGTGTTGTGTAAGTGCGTCGTTAAAAAGTATCATAATAACGTTTTGAAAATATTAATGTAAAAATCTTGAAAAAAATTGTGACTTTGACGTTCAATATCTCTATAACCATAAATTTCCAAGGTCCAGAAGAAAACTGAGCACTTTATTATAACACCACATACATATTATCAGTAACAAGTAACTATCTATAAAGCATGATAAGGTTATACTGCGGTCAAGTTTACAAATAGCAAAGACGAATAGTATGTGAAGTGCTATCCATCGCTAAATCGAATCGCAAGATTTATGTTAAAACTTAAAATACGTTCGATTTTGATTAAATTAATTTTGAATAAACGTCACTTGCAAAAGAACCTCATTGAAAACATCAAGTTGTCAACTAATTAAAAAAATAACGGTGACGTTTGGTAGCAGTATGGATTATAGAGCTATAACTCCAACGTGTAAAACTTAGAATAATAACGCCTGGAAGCCTTTTTTATGTCTGGGAAATGCCTTACGCATCCTTCAACTACCGAGGGAGCGAGAAGAAGGTAGGTTGGCTTCTCCCTGTTCATTACAGCCAGCCCTTGGGCCGGGTGAAATGAGCAGGGCCCTACCTAACGCGGCTCTCACAGGAGTGAGAGGGAGAGCGGAGTTCTCTCCGTCCCTTACTCGCCCCCTTGGCCCTAAGAAGGGCCGTTTGAGCATCTACCGCCAATCGCAATGATCAGAGTCACTGGGGTGATGCTCCTACCATGGCCCTGAGAAGGACCGATGAACCGTGTTCAGCACTCGAAGTGCTGTCCATCCCAGGGTCCCTATCGTTCACCCAGTCTCCTCTTTGCCCCTGTGCGGGCTATCTCCTATGTCAGGGTAGAAGAAGATGTGCCAGTGCGCGCCTGCCTCTCCTACCCCTAGTCCTTCTGCTGCGGAGAAACCCCGCGAAGGCAAGACAATGTTAAGTCCCTGTGGCCGTAGGTTTATTAGATTTTGACGTCATGTTAGCACTTAGACAATCCCAGACGGTTTTGGTCATGTGACCATGGAGCAAAATGATCATTTCTATTTGACGAGAATGGGGACCATGAGAGGTGCGGGCGGCAGACACATTCTTATCAAAATAACAAGTGCCCGTCTTCAACCTATAATATTCATATTAAATACAGATGCTAACAATTGGTAACTTAATTCGGCGCGCATTACCGCTCTTGTTTTTGTTAAGACACAGCTTCTTTATAGGCGTTATTATTCTTAGGTGTAAATTAAGTTTCTTTTTTTTTTCAATAATTTGTTGATTGAAGTTTTCGTTGTAATCTACATTTATATTGATTGTGATATGCTATTACTAGTTTATTGTTAAGTTTCTTTGTCATTGTCTATTGTGTTGTGCTAGGTCCACATGTAAGCGAGTGTTGTTGGATATTTTTCATCTCGTTTTGTCATAATAACGTTTCTATTTTTAATGAAAAACTACAAAAACATTGTACCATTAATTCGAGAAAATATTACATAATTTTTTTATGTCAGGGATTAATATCCACATAAACTCACAAATGGTGCCATCCAATGTTATGTCGTATTGTTGAATCTGCAACTGTGATTATTGAAATTGAAATAATTCAAAGCCCCCACCTATTTCATATTAAATCTTATATGCCAATTAACATGCAGTTTAATTGATTAAAGTTTGACACATATTTTTCTTCTTCACGAACTTCAAGACGATCAGCCTTTCCCATCGGTAGACGGTGTCTTAGCTGGATAACACAGATTAGAAGTCAATTCAATTACAGTATAAGGTTGAATAGAAAGATAACGATACATTCTCCAATTTATTTTTACATTATTATGTATATTAGGTATATTACAAAAATCCATTGCACACTTCACACCATTCCGATGCATTAGACAAAGCACATGATTAATTAAAATATGATCTATTTCTTTATAAGTTATACGAAATACAACTTTGAATATACACAGTCAGATCATAAGTATTGTCACACAGTAAAAACTTTTCTTGCTGGTCACAAAAAAGTTTATTGAATTCGAATTTTTCATGAAAATGTATACTTTTTAGAATTTAACTCATTTTTAAATATGGAGTAGACGCTTAAAGAAGACCGTGTTGCAGTTATTGCGTTGCATCGTTGCGGTTACGCGCCAATTCAAATTTTTGACATACTGAAAATTTTGATATAACCAAAAGATTCGTTTATAGTACCATCAAACGATACAATGACATGAGTGTAGATGACAGGTCAAGAAGTGGTCGCCCTCGGTCTGTTAGGACTCCAGCAGTGATAAAAGCTGTGAAGGCGCGAATTCAAAGAAATCCCAAACGTAAGCAGAAACTGTTGGCCCTTCAGGCTTAACAGAGGTACATTTTTGTGAGAAAGGTGTAAAAACGAATGCAGTTGTGGATCAAAATATAGTCCTGACGAACCTGTTTCTCGTACCATGTTTAATAACAGGCACTGGGTATTCCTACAAGATTCGGTGCCAGCTCATAGAGCGAAGAGCACACAACACTGGCTGGCGGGTGAAATCGACTTCATCCGGCACGAAGACTGGCCCTCCTCCAGTCCAGATTTGAGTCCGTTACATTACAAGATATGGCAACACTTGGAGGAAAAGGCGTGCTCAAAGCCTCATCCCAATTTAGAGTCACTCAAGACATCCTTGATTAAGACAGCCGCCGATATTGACATGGACCTCGTTCGTGCTGCGATAAGACGACTGGCCGCGCAGATTGATGGCCTGTATTCAAAATCACGGAGGTCATTTTGAATAAACTTTATTGTCATAACAATCTATGTTTTGTTAAGTTCATTTTGATATATAAATGGCTACATAATGAATAAACTTGTTTCAATTATTTTATATTAAACATGTGACAGAATTTATGACCTGACTAGGTAGTTATCTCTTTCTTTTCTAAAGGGTCTGATACGCTGGCTATTGAACAGAAAGAAGATTTACACAATTTTTAAAGAACTCATTATAGTAATAGAAAGAGACACACTTTCTCCCGATTTAGTGTAGACAACAGAATCGTGCTCAATAACTAATGCACACAAACAATACTTAAACATGATTTAAAAATTAAATACATGATAGGTACAGCCAGTCACAAGTCAAGTTATACAAAACGGGTCATGTTTAGATAAATCTTAAGTAGATTGGATAATCTAAGAATAAATATAGCTCTTACTTAAGTCAATTGGATAATCGACTTACGAGCTTTATTTTCTTAGAATAAGGAATCCACAACGGAGAAAAGTATCCATCCTTTTCTCGATACAACTCTGCCGAATTTTGTACCACAAGTATTATCATGCAAATATGTGTAGAAAAATATGCCAAATTCATCAAAATATAAATAATCCTATAATTTACTCGTACCACATAAAATGTCGTTTAAACATGCAAACAACAACTATATGGTAACACAGATAATATATTTTGGTAAGTGTGCATGTTTAAATTAATAACTATTACGGAAATCACGTGATTTTTGAAACAACCAATCGCAATTAAGGAAATGAACTTAAACCAATAATATCATCTGTCAGCCAATTACAAATTGCGTCTAAGTAATAAAGTTTCTTTTTACGCAGATTCCCTATTTTAGTAGATATTTTTTGTGATAATTTGAATCAAGGCACAAAATTGGTCAAACATCGAAGGTCTCTTTTTATGTTTTGTGGTTATGAGATATGTGGTGACTGTACCTACACTCAAAAGACAGGTTATCTAAGATTCTATAAACAATTTCGAATCTTAACGTTCCTAATATTGTTCAAAATCGCTTGGGAATATTTTGACAGTATAAGTACATAAATATTATTTGCGACATGTCAACAAAGTCATAAAAAATTTAATTATTTAATAATAAATACTCTACAATCATAATAACATTAATATCCTCTTAAAAATAAGAATGCAGCAAGACTTTAATAATATAAAAAGTCTTAAAATATACGTTTGTGTTATCCATAATTGAATCGATTATTTCGGAAACCACCTAAGCGACTAAAGTTCCAAATAATTTGTTTTGTTGGTACAGTTCACATGAATACATCGTTTAGAGCAGAAATAACCTAAAGTTGAAAAATCCCACTTGGTGATTTCTGAAATAAACGATTCACTCTTGTAGGATATAAAACGATCAATCAATACTTTTATTATACAGTTAATTATGACTGGATCGCAAAATTTAAGTACGGTTCTGCCGAGCATACTTTAAGCTGAAATGCGATCAAAAATCATAAGAGTAAGTTTCTAGACTTCTTATGAACAATAGTTTTTAAAATTAAATGTTAAATTGTTAAAAATTTCCTAGGCACAAAAAAAATATATGAATTAACCTATCCGTAAATATTATAAACAATTAAATCCTTTAAAATATTTTGTTTTGCAGTGCCCATAATAAATATACACTCGGCGTCAAAATATCGCACCTCCGGGAAAATAACTTTCAAGCGTTATTAACCCTTAACCCCCATGTATCCCACCAATATTGGCGTAATTTGAAAGCCCATGTGATAAACTTTAAAAAAAAACATTTCATTTCATTAAGAAAGCTTGATACCACAAATGTGACTTTTAAAAAAATGATAATTTTGCTCCTCAAAAGGGCCACTAGTTGAGCTACCTTTAGTGGTTATAAAAGGGTTAATACAGATGCAATGGGGGTTCCACCTAACGCTAAGTCCACCGTCTGCTCGCAGGTCGCTCACTGGGCCTCCCTCATGGGTCTCACCCGGTGGAATTGTCCCTAAAGAAAGGAACTCTACATTCCACCCTGCATGAGGCAGGGTGCACAATGATCAAGGTCAACACCGAATTCCCCGAGATGAAGAAGTACAATGGGGGTTATTCGCTATCCAACCGTTGAAGAGGACACACAAGAAGATCTTTCACACAAAATACACCTTGAAAATAGATACCATTGCTGATGAAACCGCTCAAGTGATTGCATTACTGCAATCAGGGATGCGGCAGTGTGATGTCGCTCGGCAACGGAACTTGAGCCGTTTTTCGGTTCGGAGAGTATACTAACGGTTCCTGGAGACCGGTGGCCTTGTCCGGAGGCATGGGTAATACTAGGGTTTAGGTTAGTTTTAAGAACCTTTTTGTATAAATAATCTCTTTTTAATTAAAGCTTATAATTTAGCTTGAAAGTTATTTTCGCGGAGGTGCGATCTTTTTGACTCCGAATGTACCTACTACATTCAATGTAAAAAATAAATGTTATACAAATTGAATGTACTTAGATAGTCTGTAAGAAATCTGGAAACTTAATTCATTGTCAAATACCAAAAGTAAATGAGATCATAGTCTATCATTCACGTATTAAAATTTTAAAATGCATCTTTTTATTTGTTTGTACCCTAGTAATCATTTTAAAATTATTGAATTTCCTATAACACTAAGCTTATTCTAATTTGGTGTTTCAATCAGTATGTATGTATGATATACAGATGACATCATTATTTCGTTAACAGCTGATTTATAAATATGCAAGCGACGCGTTCATATGTCAATTGGAATGTCGATTCAGCTAAACAAAATATACAAATTAAAACATATGTACAAGTAACATATAAACTAATGCAATAAAAATCCAATAAATTACAGAAATATTGCAATATAGATCTTAAATAAGTACTTACGTATTTTATAAACAAACATCTTATCTAACCGTACGTGTAATTTAAAAACTGTAATAATACTACGCATAAGTACCACATTAAACATGCAATAAGTACTCTAATATTGTACTCACAATATTGATTCAGATAAATAATATTATGTAGGAATTGTTCAGTAATCGTAACTAATATTTAGAATATGGTATTTTACCCTTACGTGGTACCAGCAGTCTTACAGGAATCAAAGCACTTCATATTTACATAGCTCATTTATTCATGGAAACCTACACATATAAAAGCTTTGAGTTTACTTAAAAATCAGAATAAATATTACAGCATTGTAATAACTTATTAGCGGACAGCATTATGCAAAAAAATTCTAACCTACAAAATTTTAAGTCACACAATCAAGTGTAGGGCGTGTCATAAAACTTTAATGTATAAAAAGAAGATTTTCCCAAAGTATGGTGTTTGTTCTGTTAATACAAATTTAAGTTATGTTAAAAAAATATAAAGTTATCTTAATTCTGCTCGAAGGACCATTCATGTGTCCCTTTGCTTAATTTGTATCGTTCTTTATAATAACAACAGTGTTATAAAACTCTTTGATTAGAAACAAAAGCTTTCAAGTACTGCTTAAGCCGCGTTGGTTCATCCATAGTTAAATTTTACTAAAATTAACCTCACGTCAAATACATAGTAAGTGTGTAAAATTTTGACAAATGTTTTTTTTTCTATGATATGTTAACTTTAGTCAAATTTAACTATAGATGTAACAATACGGCCTTAACAAAGCTAAATGCTATTTTGTTTAATTTTACCGTGTACATTCACTTATTTGTGGGTTGAGATATTTCTGCATAAGGCAGCCCATAATGGACTGTTGCCCCCCGGCATGACCATCGCAACATGATAATGATAAGAACGATAATATTAGATGACAATATTTATAGCTGAAATAAAATATTATATACAGTAAAAGCTCCTTATCCACGCTTCATTTATTTGCGTTTTCACTATTCGCAGATCAAAAAATTATGAACCAATCCTTCAAAATCAAAATTTTCATTTCGTTAAAGACCATAACTTTTAATAATAAAATTATAGAATGAGCTCTACTCCACGGCGTTCCCTCGGTATTATAACATTGTTATCTTCAAGAGGGGTTTAAATACAGTGTTTCACGAAAGGCACTGATGAATTCCTAATAACCATGGGCGACAGGTACCACATAGATCCCGCCCGCCCACTCGTCTACCTTCGAAGGCAATAAACAAAAACAATGGTTTAACTGAACTCATACATCTTGAAATCATGCTGGAAAAAACTGTGACCTGTTCCGACTCAGGAAAATCGGTGCAAATTCAAACTTTAACTTGTAACGTAAAAATTGATTTGGGAAATATAAGTGATGGTTTATTACAGTACAAAGCTCATCGGCTTTGTGCGTTCTTCATGTAAATTGACCCGTCTATAGAACGAAATACCTATTATTTTACAAAGGCAAATTGCTAATGCCACTGCTGAATAATTAGTATGAATTGAAAGAGCTTTTAACAACTGCTAAACAAGAAAATTTTCAGCTTCTTTAAAACCGTGCCTAAGCCTGACGTTATTAATAAAATTATAAAGAATATTATTAAAAAATGGTTATTATTTTGCCACCTAGGAACGTATCATCGATAATCCCATAGAAATTACCATTCATTCACGGTTTCCATATTCGCGGCATATTTACGGAACATATCCCTGCGGATAAGGAGCTTTTACGGTATTGTCATGCTACGGTGGCAAGTATGATTTTAATAATAATAAGTACAAGATAAAGATGCTAAGCACATTTTTTTTTCAAATTAGTAAGCACAAACCAATGATTACCCCAAGCAAGAACTTTAACAGATCCGTTTTCGTACCGCCAAAGTTTCTATGGAAACTAACCAGTGCCTCTGCAGGATGTAAGAACAAACTAGCTTTTTCCATTTAGCTAAAATTTGACATGACGATACGAATCCTGTCTTGCTAATTGTTCGTACTTGGGGTACAGTATAATATAGTACTAGGTTCCTTTACAGATGATTAGATGACAGATTGTAAAATAAGCGTAGGTATATTGCTCCAATAAACAGCCATTTATGTTAATCCATCAGCACCATATTATCGCACTAGTGTCCTTTTCAGTAACATTGCACTATGACACAAACACACGGCCACATTATATGCACAGGCTTGTGTAGACTTATATATTCTATAACACCAAAACAATACAATTCAACATAACTATGTCACACAGAAAGCTATTTAAAAGAATACTAAAAAACTTATGAACGATTAAAACACTTAAGTAACATTAAATATAATTTAATACAGAATAATACGCCTCATTTCAAAATTCCATTATCTCTGAATCTTTTTTTTTTAATTCCTATTGTTCAATCCAGCAGCATCTCAATTTTGAGATGAGAAAACCTGATGCCATAAAAGATTCAATAGACTCGAAACGAGTACAACGGTTGTAATAAATTCATCATTCAAAAATCCAACGAACGTTCGCGAACACAAGCCTGCATCGCTAACAATCTGTGGCCGGGTTTACACTCATAGTTCGTCGTAGGAGGAGCTCTCTCGCTCGTCGAATGGTCGCGCCCGTTCGCCCCAGCGGTCCCAGCGCTCGGAACTGAGCAATGATTCCGTGTCTTCCTCCTTTTGCGGTAGCGGATACACGATGCCGTCGCCGAAACTACCCACATCCACGAGTTAAAGCAAATATCGACCTTGTTAACTTAAGCTATAGAGTTGATTGTGCTCCGTGTGACGATGCATAGTTCGATGCAAGCGTATATTCTGTGTTATGGTTGCATTCGATGAATGCGTATATATATCTGTACTTCTCACGATTCACATTGAATAGTGCGACAAAGATCTTTATGAATTTGAGTGACAGTCCAGGGAGGACGCTGCTGTCTACGTAAATGACATACAAAAATGCCGGCGTTAATTCTACACTTAAGAAGTACAGACATGAGTCGCATATAAGCTTTATCTACCCTATACTAAAATGAACGATTCTTATTATTTACAAACTTTTAAAATCTACATTTAAAAGCTATCTAATGATAAATCTAAGACCGGCACTTCACTTGACTATTCGTATTTGCTATAACTAAACTTGAAAACAGTCTGCCCTTATCATGCTTTATAAATAATGTAATAATCATAATACCGTGTTTTAAAGCAAATAAATACATTATTATTATTAATGAAAAGGAAAGACTGATGTCAAGTTTACAAATAGCAAACACGAATAGCCAAGTGCCGACATAATAGCTCCTCTATTATTGTTTGCACGCTTGTGAAACTATTTCACTAAAAGCTGCCGAGGTATAAACGCATTACGGTACCCCTATATTGCTAAACAAAATTAGCATGCAAAAGGACACTGATCTTGTAAATAATCGTAAACTAAAAATTAATATCTCTATTATATAATAAAAAAGAAGTGAATGACTTTATTTTCGACTTCATTATTCGAACAGGGTGAATGCCAATGAATGAAAAGCATGTTTGATTGAACAAATTTATTTTAAGTATAATAATAAATGTAAGTAATAAAAAATATTTTGAATGAAAATCGATTAGTATTAAATTGTTATAATTAATGCGCTAGGTATCCTTAAACTATGTGAGGGACGGTCCGCCCCTTACTGGGGCAAAGTCTCCATCTTTCAGTCTCGTGTCCGACCTCCACGCTAAAATAGTAAAAAGCTCCAGTTCTAATTTGACCTTTATTACATTAAGTATAAGTAATAATTTTGAAAAAAGGAAAGGAGTTTTAGTAAGATACAGACTAGATCAGAACTATAGATAGTAGAGGAAAGAAAGCGTGGGTGCCACAGATTGAAAATATTATCTTACCTGAGCGTTTATTTTTTTCATTTAAATCAAAACTCATTTGAAAAGAAGCACGAAAATAAATCTTATGCACTCAAATGGAAAAATAACATACACATACTTTATAATTAATGTTATTTATCAATTTTACTAATCTGAGCACCCTATACATGCAAGAAGAAGCATAGAGAACAGAATGATTTACTTTTACCACTGTTTGGATGTAAGATATACAGCACACACGACGAATCGTTACAATCATAAAATAACTGATTAATTCAATTATGTATCCGTTTGCTTGCTAATAAAAGCAACTATATGGTTTATTTTAAACTAATAAAGCGTAGTAACTCAGCATTTCATAGTGAGTTTCCAAATCTTCGAACATCATACAAAAAAACTAGTAAAAACAAAAACTATCAGCTGCCCCCGTGACGTGTAAAGCTTCGAGTGTATAAATAAAAATGAAAAACCAAAATAAAGAACAAAAATATTTTATTGTGCACAAAACATACATACAAAATATGGACAGTACTCTAAATAATCATCAGTCTTGTGTGTTGTATATAGCTCAGAAATTATAAATGCACAAAAGCAATTGCATATTTAAACAAACATATTGGTTGGAATTCATTTATTATAGGTCTCACACGACTTTCACGTAACATTTCACCCGATGGCCGAGCTTGCACACATAACTTGAGTATTATTGTTCATTAAATTCACATATGAATCATATATAAATTTTAATATAAAACATATTGGAAGGCATAATCGTTTATTGCTCTGTCATATTTAATATAATTAATACTATTCATTATTTTTTTATTTAGTATCCATACGATTCGTATATCGTAATCCTACTACAATGATAACTAATACGTTCTTTAACAAATTTCATTTATATTCATAGTAAAATTGTAGATAAAAAAGTGATTATCAACTAAAGATTTAATACTTATCTTTATCCCGATTACTACTAGTAATTAAAGATATTGCGATGTGTTTCTGATTTGGCACGTAATGTTGCAATATATGTGCGTTTTTAGTTAAGGAAGACCGTAACTTTCATATAAGAGAAACCCTTATAATTAATATTTATAAAAACTAAATTATTAGTTTTTAAAACTTCAACTTTGAAGTTTTAAGAACATTAAATATAATATTTACTGCTATGATGTTTCCAAACACAAACAATGAACATGAATATCAGTTCCTATATGGGCATATTCGTGAGGTTTTACGTCAATAAAATATGAAAGGGCAAGATATCTCTTGGCAAACTTTTGGTAAAAGCCAGCCGTTGATATAATTCCAAGTCGGTGGGAATGTCAGGTTTCTTATAGACACTGGCGCTAACTACTGTTTTGTATTGTCATTTACTTGGCTTGGCATCTGAACTAGATTTTCAATAATAATAGCACGCGTGACACTGGGAAATATTGATTAATATGAGTAAGTGAAATTACAAATAAAATTAATAAGAATAATTTGTAAAGTTATTATAAAATGAAAAAGCAAGTTCAAATAGAGAGAAGACGTCACAACAAGCTTTACCCGAGTCAACTAAATCAATTTTCTTTATCAATAAAAATGGACCTTACCACAAACGAAATTAAACCAAGTTCAGTTTGACAACTTGTATCACTCAGAGTGTCGATTCGGGCCTCCAATAAAAAAAAACCAAGAGTAACGCTCGCTGTTTTTATACTGGTTTAAAGACTAGGGTGAAACCTCAAGGTATGTGACTAGCTTCGACTGGGGAGTCGTCAGTGAGGTCTGACCTGGACCGCGTGATGCCCATAGACTCGTACCCGTGAGCCTCGTGGGGCGTCGTGAAGGTCTGCAGTTGGTGCTCGCGCCTCACAGGGAATTGGCACCCGTCCCCAAGGCTGAATAAACGACCGTATCTATCACGGACTGACTGTGGCGACCACAGATCTAGATTTAAGTAGACGACGCATGTGCGACAAATGTATGAAAACTGAACACGTCTCATTTTGAATACTGACGCGATCAAATTGAGTGGTGGAAAAGCACTGGGTACTGGTCACCTAGAATTGAAACGCAACTCTATCGTTTTCACATCATATTAATATGGTACAAATATGAATAAAAAAAAATGTGATTGACATTCTGTTATCGAGAACGGTGACGCGAAGAAATAATATAGAATAAAAGGAAGAGCTCTGTTTTCCTTTTTGGCACGTGAAGTACATACATACACTTGCGTTATCTATTTCGATCTGTCTGTGGTGGCGACATCTATTCATTATAATATGCTCCTTGACAACGCCCGTTCAAAGTTTCATATAAGTAAAAAAAAAATACGTATCGCTTTAGATCCCATTTAAAAGTATTTTAAACGAACGTAACACATCGTACCGGACACATTCAACGAAAGAACGTTTCGCCAAATTATTATTTTATTTCTCATATATACTTTTTTTACTTTTTATTTATCATATTAAAGTTTAAAGGATAGCCTAAGATAACAACTAAACCAACTGAACCTCTATCGGAAAATAAATGTTACCTAATCTAAACCTTTTTCACACACACACACGTGGTACACAGGCCTCCCCTATGGGTGGAATAGGAAAATAAGGCCGTGATTAGGGTTACCATTTAGGAATATCAAAAGTCCTGACTTGGACTTTCAAAATGGTAGCATTACTCACTTAGTTACAATGGTATGGTACTTAAATCAATATGTACTTTTATTATTCATATTCAATGTATTTTAAAAATCCGGACAAATTAAAGATTCGGTCAAAGCCCGGACTATAGTCTAAAAGTCCGGACATGTCCAGACTAATCCGGACGGATGGTAACCATAGCCGTAACCCACCACGCGGGCGCAGTGCGGATTGGTGGTTGCTAACGACTGCAGCTGCAGCCGGCCCAAAGGCTTAACGCACACAAAATGCATTTAAAAATGGACGAATAGGAAAAATTCCCACTACACTTCCACCTAATAGCCAATCAAACGACGCGACTTCAAACAATCGAATCAATTAGCGCTCAGCCCGAGAGCAACGACGCAATCAGAACCATGTTTTGGTTAAGTTGTGAGCATTTGCTCGCACAATACTGTGGTGCACCTGCCCCGCCCACAAGGCCCTCCTAATCTCTTTCTGTTTTCTGTGGAGACAGAGTCAGGCGAACGAAAAGACAATGAAAGCTTAGTTCTATTAGTGCCACAGAGAAGTATCACTGAAACCGAATTCAAAAATATCCGCTTGTGCCTTATGTAGTATTTATTTTTTAATTTATTTTAAACTTTATTGACCAAAATATATAACAATGGTACAGGCGGCCTTAATGCTAAAAGCATTCTCTCCCAGTCAACCTTTGGGAAAATGAAAAACACGAACGGCGGTATAAGGCTATATACGAATATATGTACAAATTAACATATATACGTACATACCACTATAAGAATATAAATACAAACATAACACACTAAAATTTTAATATATATATATATAGTATATAGATATATATAATATATACATGATGCTGATTAAAAAGTGCCCCTTCATCTTAAATTTTGCAACAGATGAGCATGAACATTCCTTTTAAATATTAATTTACTAGGAGATCTTCTGATGAAGTCGGGGAGGTCATTCCACAGTCGTATAACTTAAAGAGAAAAGGAGTTGGACATATAGCCTAAATGAAAGAGGAATATAGAGCTAATGAATCAGCAGAGCGGAGAGGACGGTCGTGACTATCACAGAGATACTGAAACTTGCATTTCAAATACTCTGGAGAATGAGGGTTGGAAATAATGGTAAAAAGAGTGCAGAGGAATCTTAACTGCCTGCGCTGGCGAATAGGAAGCCATTTTAGTTGGGATCGATATGAAGAAACTAGGTCAAATTTGCGGAGGCAAAAAATGAAACATATAGCATTGTTCATAAGGCGGTTCAATTTATTGAGAAGATCTGCGTTTAAAGCAGGATAACAGACATCAGCATGAGAGGAAGAACAAGGGACGTAACGTAAAGTGATCTTAGTTTTTATGGGAAAATTTCTGAAGCGATTAAGGGTACACAACGAAAAGGAAACGATTCGGCTGACTTCGGCAATCTGCGTCATCCAACTTAGCGTAGTATCAATATGAAGGCCGAGATTCTTAAATGGAATTATAGAACCTTAAAACACAACAGGTGGGACCAGACTAACATCGATCTTGAAGATCTGCTTGGAGCCACCCACTACAATAGCTTGACATTTGGTCGGGTTATTGTAGTGGGTGGCAATTCCAAAGATAGCAGACCAAGAAATTACATTGCATAGTTCCCTATTGAGCTGAGATATTCCAGCAGAAATTTCCTTAGCAGTCGTCTGCACATAAATCTGCAAATCATCAGCATAGAAATGGTAAAAACAGCCAAGCAAGAAAGAAAAAAAATTAATGAACAATGAGAAAAGAAGAGGGGGAAAAATGCCCCCTTGTGGAACGCCAGCAGTCAAGTCATTCCAACTTGACAATTCACAATCCTAGCGCACTGCCTGCTGGTGACCAGTGAGGTAAGATGAAAACTAGTCAAAGAATGTCAAAGAAAAATTAAGAGATTTCAGAGTCGCATCGTGGTCCACCATATTGAAAGCATTGGAGAAGTCAATTAGGACAATAATGGTGACCAATTGGTTCTCCATAGTATTAATAGTGCTTAAGCGCGTGCCACGCCCCCAAATGTCGCGATACAAGTTTGCACCTAATTAATTATCTGACCGTAACTTCACAATGAAGTGTTCCATTAAAACGCTAGTTGCCCTCCCCACACGCCGCCAACTTTCACGATTTCCATTTAACAATCGTACTCTGGGATTGACCCACATAAAATTACTTATTCGGCGAATCGCATTTCCGGAGAATTGTGTTCCGATAAACTGTGTGCTATTAATAGCAATAATTTTGAAGGTGAAGGCATGAGATATACAAGTGTCAGGGATCATTCCATAATGAATAGACAATTATTGGTTACAAAACAAAAGTCAGTGAAAACAAAAGTTATGAAAGATTGAGAAAGATACAAGAAATGTTCACTATTAATCTTTGTGGTATAATACATAAATTAAAATGGTGTCAATCAAAATACGTGCGGTGTCGAGTCTCTGGTATTATTATTAAGAAACCTAGACTAAATATTGCATAAAGATGAACGTAGCTTTCATTTAAAATGGCTTGCGTTGTTTGACAATGTTTACTTTTCATATGCTGAGTGTGGTTCTACTGTACAAACAGTTCAGAATGATAGTAGTTTTGCTATGATGGTATATAACACGAATGATTTAGATTTAATGGTGATGCATGAAAGAAGACTATCGCCAATGATAGAAAATAAATGTACACACATAATTGTGACCATAGAATAAATATTATATATTCGAGTAATAGTGACAGCTCAGAATGGTAGTTTTTATTAGTAGTATTAGTGGTAACACTTCCGAAAACTCCCATGAAGTGTATTCAACCGATTCGGATAAAAGATAACCATCAAAAAATATATTAACTACATGCCTATGGTTTTATCAATTCAAATATAGCACACTTCTTTAATCAATCCGTGTTAAACTATTGCCATTGTTACTCGTTTTGTTTTTTTTGCGTTGGTTAATTTGGTCATTCACTTCTTTTTTCACACATTAAATAGTCATGCACACCGACCACACATTTCAGCGAATGATCGCGCGGTTAGTAAACGTCTATTAGTATTTGTTCACATGCACGTAAACATCCGTTCTATAAATCTGTCGCTATAGACTTTCTATTCACAGGCAGTTTTTAAACGCGACATCCAATGTCTGTTTGTAAACGTGATTCTGTGTTGCCATTGGCAAAAAATGTGAGTGACGGTAGGATATAGGAAGTAACGTTACCTTGTGAAGACTGGTACCATCCATAGGTTCGGATTGTTGCCAAAGACCTCTTTGAAGTTGTTGAAGGCGCCTATTGAGAAGCCGTTCTTGTCGGCGCCACCGCGGAACATGGGCGCACGGAAGGCTTCTGTAGTGTCAAAACAACGCATATATGAAAGTATATTTTACACTTCACCTGCTCGGAAAGTTCTTTATTCTTGTTTTAAAAACGGAGCAGAAAGGACCTTATTACTGCTGTACTATTTAAGCGGGCTGGAAAAGTGTATGGCAAATCATTGTTTACGTGCTTTTTTTCAGATTTTCCATGTTGTTTAATTAATGTTCCGAAAATGCAAGTTGTCAGTATGATTTTGCAGATTTTACAATTTTTTTTAACTTAAGGTTTAATTAACATTATGATTATATTTGCTTTCTGAACATTAATTTTGATAAAAGAACAAAGTAAAAGCGCGCTGATTATATTATTTTAATTGAACCTTTTACCGGGGCAATCAAGAAACCAATTATAAAGTTCCCTAGCAAAAATTTAGTAACTGTAACAATTTCAATATACAATTTAAATGAAAGAATTTGTCTTTTATTTCTTCGTAGGCATAGCTAGAGCACTATGTATTCCTCCAAAGAAAGTGATATTCCAAACTCGGGTGTATTAAGGCTCTTGGCTGCGCCTCGGGCAACAAACTATACCCTGGTTGGTAATTGGTCACTTTCTCCTCTCGGTGTATTCACCGAGAATAATGTACTATAGCAACTTGAATACTTTTCTGATCTTCAACGCACAAACAGTCAGAACCTTTTCATTCCAAATTAAATAAGTAACCCTTATCGCTACATTTTATTGTTGAGTTATACTTTAGTCGTAAAAGCAAATCACAAAAAAATTAGAGTGACTGTCGACTTAACTGATTTAAAGGGCATTTCGACTAAGCGATCGGTTTTAGCCTTTTTAGTTGAACTGTCAGTTATAACATTTTAAGTTTTATAGTTAATTCAAGTGCCTTTATAGACTACAAAATGTGTTTATAACATTTCAAAGGTAACACAGAAAAATCATTATATTGAAACTAATTACCTCTTGATATTCTACTAAAATGGTGTTTAATTTACTAAAATATCGATCAAAATAATATTTTCTATTAATGTACTTATACCGTTATAAAAACTAACATGATAGCTAAGTATATGAACATTTAAATGAACCACAAATGTATCTACTCGTTTAGAAGTGACTGCATTTACCATTGATCAAAGACTTAAGCACAGAATTAAATATCTGCCCAGTAGGACTACCCAAACGGCGGTATGAAAACAGCATATCTGAAAACAAACTTGTACTTTAATACATTGGAATAAGAAGAATCGACATCCTAAGTTGGCAATGGTCACTGCTGTCACTTCAAGATATGAAATATTGAGATAGTTTAATATCAGCAGAAAATATGCTCATGAGTACTTAAACTTTGTGTTTTAAATGTAAATAGTATAAGACTGCTGTAGATGCCGCTTGAAAATAAAACACACCAACATTGTATGAGTAACAGTTGGCGCAGACGAGGGACTGGACCTCCGCGGAAAAAAGTCCCTGAATCGTGAAAAAAATGTCCGCGGAGGACCGGTTGTTCGGGGGATTTTTTGTAGGTGGTACTTTTATTACGTCGTGTGAGTAACTCGATGCAATTGTGAGCAATCTATTTTACAGACAAAAAAGTCAGCGGTCAATTGTCCCTCGTCCGCGTCGACCATAAAGTGTTCACTGACCCCATTTTATCTTTTTGTTTGATTTTAACAACTTCACTCACTGCGGGGCCCTACTCTTCCGTAAGGTAAAATATACTTTACCAGAGTGCTACTCTAGAAAAAAGTTGCCTAAAAACAATTTTCACTTACCCAAAGTAGTTCTGTTGTTCGCCACCAAGTAACAATGGTAGCCGAACAGCGAGCCGAGCGATATCGCGAACATCAGCGACACGAAGAACGCGAACACTATGTGGTATCTTCCCGCGCCCGCCGCTGCGCCGAATTCGCCCTGAGCATTTGCAAGGACCTTTAAAGTTTCATACAGAAAATTTTAATAGAAAAAAGCACTAGGTCCCTGCATCAGACAGGGCGCTGTCTGATATCTGGACCTAGTAAATTTTATTCTAGTAAAATTTTCTTTAGATTTGTAAATGTAGCAGTTTAATGCGTAAAATATCAACATAATAAAATTTTATTAATTTTGTTCCTTATAAATAACCAGCGATCCACCCCGACTTTGAACGTGTGTTTTTTGTAACGCGATAAAATACAGCCTATAGAATAAAGAGGATAGATTTTTTTATTTGTAAAGAATAATCTTAAAAACTACTGGATCGATTTTGAATTCTTTTTCATAGGTAGAAAGTAACTTTATTCCTGAGTGACATGAAGTTGGCTATTTCATCGCTTTAAAATAAATTTCACCGGTGCAAAGCCTGGGCGGGTACTTAAATACATTTAACTCTCGTACACAAAGTTTGTTATTAAGATAACGAGTGAATAACATCAATATTTTAATTAGTCGCTTACACACAATATAAACTAAGTGATTAGAATATAAATAAACAAGCAGCATTACGTAAGTAGATAATCATTAAAAAATACAAGTAATATTGACTATTGGACTGTTGATTTGAACTAAGGTCGCTTAAACCTTAGCGACAGATGAAATGCCTCATATGTATAAGCACTACAAAACTACCGTCGTATTTATAAATAAGTAAAATTTAGATTAAATCAAAAAGGGGAGATACGGTACGCTCTTAGTTGCGTCAAATAAAAATATATCCGTCTCAATTACATAAGTAACTCTCACATACGTCGATAAATGCATTCAATCGAGCGAGCCTGACAGAACTGTACCCTTAGCACGAACCAATATCAAGGAAACTTGAACAGCAGCGCCATAACGGACGTAACGAGAAAGACGTAACAATCAGTACATATTTGTTTGACAATGACGTTTCGCATTGGCAAACTATTCGAATTCAATATTGGTTCATGCTAACGATCCGCGAATGCGTGTCGCTTGACAACCGACCGCGTTTTCAATTCTCTCTTTACAAACGGCTAAGCTGTGTGCTGTGCTGTGCTTTACAAACAAATGTCGAATACAAGCGAATAACATTCATGACAAACCGTGATTTTTGCGAAATAAATGATTTAATAGCTTAACGGATAAAGTTTTGCCAGGGGAATTTGTTATTTGTTTTTAAACTATTTAAGCATTTTTTAAAAACATCGAAGGCATTGTTTTATCTTTTTAACACGGATTATCTGCAATATTGTTATATAGTGTCCAAAGCGAATTTCATCACTCTCGAGACACAAGTGATGTATCTTCCCTTTCTGATTTAAATTAAGAAGTAAAAGTAATTACTTCAGCTTAAGTAATTACTAGAGCAACATTAAATGGAAAAAAGTAAGAACTGTCAAAAATGAGAATTCTTAACCAATTAATAGAAACCATTTTCGTTGCTAAGTAACTATTTGACTTATTGAAGATGCTAGTGTGTAGTAATGACTTACTTACAAGTAGGTAATTACTTGTTTATAAATGTGAGTGTTAGAATCTAAGCTATATCACAACGTACGGCGTACAATAACAGATATAGGTACAATCGATTTTTGTCTGTAATTTTGGTTTTAAATAATGTGAGCTAGGTCTTCATTATGGAATAAAAATTTACAGTTAACAGTACAACAATTTTGAACTTTATCGCATATAACTATTTTCGTCACTATGTAAAAACTCATATACTATTTTTAATTTGTCAAATTTCTAACTCATATTCATATTTATAAACTCAACTAAATGAACGAATAATTGAATAATTCGTTCTTATTTAATTTATTGTAACTGATATTTTCTGACAAAAAAGACTCCCTACAGATTCTGTAGTCAAAAGAACAGGGCACCTTAAGACTCAAAAGTGTTTTATGTTATATCCTTATTTATGATAAATTAACCAACTCCCAATAAAGGGAACAGGCCAAGGACAATGCTGATTTGTTTAGAGTGCAACTGTACCTATTCATCCTCAGGATCTTTTCAGTGCCATCATATCGAATAGCTATTCATGTAGTCGATAACAAACATCACCTAAGGGCAATAGGGTTAAGTAATTTATGATAAAGCATCTAATACTCCTATTAGACTCGACTCAAATTATTTCATTACTAGTTCCACAATGTTTATAGTAAAGCAATAAGGATGATGACAAAAATTTTCTTTTTCTTTAATTAGGTAGATTACTACGCACAATGGTCCAATAATTAGGACTAAGTGCGGAAACCGCCCCGAAGAACTAGGTAGATTATTGAAAAGTATTGGACACGTATTTTTGAAGCGAAACTTCTTTTCGAACGGGATGTAAATGGAAAAATTCTATAAAAGATGAAACGGAAATGCGTCACGAGCGTCTCACGACTATATATATATATATATGTGTGTATGTGTGTGTATGTGGGATGCGTGCGCAGCTCTTCCTGACGAGCATGAAAGTTGGAGAGTGACTCGGCGAAACCTGAAACGCTACGAGTGTCACACGCGAATATATAAGTATATACCTACATATATGTGATTGTTGCGTGTGTCAGGTTATTTAAGAAAAGAAATTTCACTTCAGATGTGTGGTCAGTGCACACTATTTTTTTTCATTTGTCACATAATCAAAACATTACGGAGAAGATTTGAAATGTCGCATGACATCGCGTTTTGGGCAATTTTTTGATCAATTGACCAAAGAAAATGAAATGTTCATTATTTTTTTCATGACGGACTAAGCGTCAGTTAGATTAATAAAAATTTGTAGAAGATTATCAATAAATAACAGAATTTTGTATAATTGACACCGTCATCATCCCTATTACAAAAATAAATAAACAACAAAACGAAACATTCCCACTGCGATATTGATTTTGTAAACTACAAACAATGTGGAACATTGTTTCTTCTAGGACTATGAAGTATGAATTCGCATCTATTCTATGGGTCATCTAAAATACTCAATGTAATACAAACTAATATATAAATTGGTCAGTGTACTGCCTTTATCAATTGCTATCTGGTAAAGTACAAACACTAATTACAGGAAATTTAGATATCTACATTGAATTTGTCCTAGATAAGATTACCATTCATTTGTGTAATTTCGTTATCTTATATGGGCATCTAATAGGAATTTGCGGTTAAGTGTGCGAGTTTTAGGTTTATTTTCGTTTTGACACTCGGACCTTCTTCTATAATTGAGCAGAGAAGCTGTACTTATTCGAGATTATGACTTTAGCCTACTTATGCTACCAACACTTTGTACTGATATTATGCAAGGATGTGTAGAGGTTTCATTGTAAATCGGTTACGTTGCTCTTCCCCAGTGTGAATTGACCCTCAGTTAAGCTTATATAAGGGTCAATTCACACCGGCATGGCAGCGGCCGGCAGCGAAGCCTCATTTTTTGACTGAAAGCAGTGTGAAAGAATCTTAACTTTATCCTTATAGTCATAAAACCCAGTATTGCTTGAAAAAGTTCCGCGGTGTCGAAAGCGAGCGGCATCGAACGCTGCGCGATAGTCCCCGTGGTCGTTGACGCTAACCTAAACTCTTTATCCTTCTAATTAGTTCTTTATTATATTAGAAGTAGAAGGAAAATAGTAACTAAATAAAGTTTTTGAATTGAAACTTCTTTACGCATGTTTGGGGGTAAGCTGGCGAATGCGGTACGCGTTACGGGCGAGACGAACGGTAGTTGAGTGGGGGATATAAGCAAACTTCTTTACGCACGCTTGACTTGGGGAGTAAGCTGGCGAATGCGTTACGCGTTACGAAAAGTGTGTTCGGGTGAGGCGAACGGGAGTTGAGTGGGGGATATAATGGTTATAAGCACACTCGTATTTTTTTTATACAATATACTTGCACTAAGTGTAAACGGCGTGCTGAATTAAAAGAAAGACTGCATAATTTGACTTGTATTGCTACAATGATTAGGTTTATCCCAATGAGTGAACGTTTGTGTCGCCAAATAGCTAACTAATGCTACAATGTGTAACCCTTATAGCTCGACTACACTTCGTCGTTGGCCCGTGTTCGGGTGTACGAAGCAATATTTACACTGGAATACGGTATGGAAGACGGTGTCGTGTACAGGCTGCGCATGGGTACGACTGGAGAGCCAATCAGCGCAACGCACGCCCACCCGCGCACCTCGTTTCCCCCCAAGACATCTTAATTTTTACTTTTGCGCAATAACGGTCAGCGCTAGAGCTTCGTGCCGCGACTTATAACCAAAACAAAAATTACCAGAATACTGGTGTACTCGACTCCGTTTATTTACACTTAGTCGTTTACCTGAATTCCTTTGGCACTTGTATTCGGGCTAACGACCAAATGTAATCGCGCCATAACTAGCAGTGCAGTGAATGTGAAAACTACATAGTTACACCGAAAATTACCCGGTTTCCTTATTGCAATATATTGCTACAATGACTAAGTTTGAACGCAATGCGAGACTGATGATTTTGTCACCTAATAGCAAAACTGATGCTACAATGTATAACACTGACTGTAGCAGTGCAGTGAAACTATTTACATTCAGAATCTCCAAGCATAAATCTGTATAAGTGCCGTTGTCAAACAAGCGGTCGCAGTGGGCATGTTTGTACTCATTGTAAATCTGAAAACGTAAAATAAAGCAAAATAAGTAACTGAAAACTGAACTTAAGTAAAAAACGGGCTTTGTAAAAAAAACTTCGAGGAACAAAAACGTTCTTTGCCTCTCAGATGAAATAAGACGAGGCTCGTACGACCTGATTCTCTTTCCCGACACTGTAAACTTTTCACAGACTTTCATTACTTATTTATTTGTAGATTTATTATCCTTACTAATCTATATGAATAAGAAGTGGCCGGCGCTAGTCAGGCCTTGCTCTATTAGGTATTATCATAATGAACTAATCCGGTTATTAAAGCTACCTAGCTTTAATTATATAACATTGACTTTTCTATACTCTTCTCCTCCCGTCTTTCTTCGTTTTGTTTCTGTACCGTCCCCTACTCTTTCTCTTTTATTATCAAATCCACGCATCTCCGACAGCAGCGTCATGAGGCCACTTCGGGGACTCATGGGGTTGCATACCCAATGTTAAGTAATTAACAGATGCCAGAAAAACAAAATTACAAAAGTTAAGAAATTATTGAGGAACAAAGTCAAAAATAGGTTTTCTTCATTTTTATGAAACAAATTGTAAATATTATTTCTTAATTTCTACCCAAAATTTTAAGTATTTCGTAACAAAAAATAGCTTTTAAAAGTCAGCGTATCTCGACTGTTAACGTAAACACACACAAACACTGCCTTACTATGATTCAACTCAGTGCCGTACGCGCAGTCTGTTGCGCGCTATACATTGCGTGGTTATTATTAACACCAAAAAGTTCTAAGTTGCTTATTTTGATGTATAGAATGCGTGGGTCTCGGCTGTGTCGAAGGTCTTTTCGACGATTCATTTTTACTAGATTATCTTAGTAAACTTTTTTTTTTATTTCGTTATTAAAACATTAGATTTAGCTAAAAGTTACACTCCGACTGTAAGTGGTGAGGGGTCAGCTACTAAAATATTAACTTTGCAAAAGCATAAAAATACAAAATCTTTCAATATCAGGTTTCTACCTGAAAAATACTAAAGGCTAGTATGGATATAAATAATAATTAAAAAGGTACCTACTTTTATATGCCTAATATTTAATTGCATGCATGATAGGTAGATGCTATTTACAATTACTCATTATGTTATCAGAGTGAAATATGTGACGTCAGGCAACAACAGATATTTGCACTATGTATTATTTACAAACATACTCCGTTAGTTCAAGTATAGATTATCTAAAAGAGTGATTACACTACATTGGGAAACCTTATTAACCTATACAATCAAGGCTGGATTTAGGGCAGAGCAGGCGGCCCTGTGTCCTATAAGCATCCAAAACAGAGAAAAAATAATAAATCTTTTTGACCATTAAATGCAGATTTTAAAAATACACCCTCGTAGGCATCCACGTCTCTAAATCCGGCCTTATAATACAATAAATATTAATTTAGGGCTAAATAAATATGTATTGTAATTCATGTATGTATGTTAATGCTGTCACCTTCTTTCCGATAGAAAAAGAATGAAGAATAAGAAATCATTCAATTATTATTTGACGTCTTGCTTACGTAGGGCCTCCTCCCATAGGCGCGATATTATCGGTCGATAAAATCGGATGCGTTATTGCTCTGCGTTAACTGTATCTAGTACATTATGCATGAGAACGGCTGCGAAGGTACACACTGCTGCGATAATAAAGACGCAATAGAAGTATGAACGAAGCATCCGATAATAATGCGCCTATGGGCGGGAGGCTTTAATGAATGGGTGGTTGTAGGAGTTCAAAAGGTTTAAGTTTACAAAAGAAATGACAAAAGTAACAAATACACAAATGTGTGTTAAAAAATACCTTCCAAAACCTAATGAAGTAAGGCAGGCACGTGGACATGACGAACAGGCAATAGAGAAGCGCATATCCCAGGAACAGCATGAAGAACTTGTAGTTGTGGTAGCACACGCAGTTGTTCACCCACGGGCAGTGGTGGTCCATCTTGAGCACGCAACGGGAGCAGATGCTGCAGTGGTGCGCGCGGTCCGGCTTCACTAGCACGCAGCGGTTGCAATACCGCACCGATCCGGACATTGTTCTGAGGAAATTGTTTTTCGTTGGAATCTTTTCAAAAGTGACAGCGTTTGTTGATTGAAGATCAATGACTCTACCAATGCCAAGTGTACGATGGGCAGAAAGTCTGCGTTTATTTAGGGCGTGCTCTGCGTTAAGCGGGAGTACGGAGCGGACGTCCACTCCGCGTGCAGTTTTTGATGTGTAACATCTTTCCTCTCGCTTTCGTGCAATTTGTGGGAGTGAATACGTGAAGTGGGACGGAAGTGTGTAACAGGAAGTTTGGGAAGCGCGCACTATTTGATTTGATTTCAGAACATATTGTTCAAATGGCTTATTCCTTTTGTAGTAGGTTTTATTTCTTTTTTCACTAATATAAGGTGAGGTTTCAAATGTTACACATCATACGCGACTACTGTAAGGCTCGCTCGTTTTTTTTTTCATGACATACAGCAGCAGCGCTGCTACGAGAGACCCGCCTCATGCAGCGCTGCTCTATAAAACAACATGAAACAAACACCGTCAGCTCCGACCTCCCGCTTAACGCAGCGCACGCCCTAACAGGATAATTGCTGATATGCCGCAGTAGATAAAATGAATGCTCAAATAATAAACCACTTTTTAATGGGTTAAAAACACATTTACTACATATTTTTTTCCTTTTTTGGCTCTGCAATCACAAGACCATGTCTTGTGGTATGCATGACATTAAGAAATATTTAAAAAAAAATACAGCTAGGTGCCATTACCTGTCGGTTTCATAGTCTACTGACAACAGCTATTGAAATCAGCAAAAAGCTAAATTACATAGTGATCATAAAGTGATTATTACAGCTAGCCGAAAATCAGGGACAAAAATTACATTCACATAGACCAGAGACGTTTTCACAAAACCCATTTCATATATTTATTGGATCAACTAAATGAGCCAAGTCAGGTGTACTCAATTAGAATAGATCACCTAAAACCTTAACTACGATTCAAGGTCACACCTGTAATAGATTGCTACGCGCCACTTTCTCATTAAGCTACTTGCAGTAGTGAGGAAGTGAAGTTCCACTTATTTTTAAACAGTGTTGCCTATTCATCCATTGCTAACTGTTTTCACTTTTCATTCTAACACAAACTGTGTTAGTGTTTTTTGTTCTATCGAAAATTAGCATACAAAAAACTTAAGATTTATATTATATCTTGTTCTTATTTGACGACCTCCGTGGCCGAGTGGTTTGTACGCCGAGTTTCATGGTATCGCCGACTCGAGAGGTCCCGGGTTCGAATCCCAGTGGGAGCAGATGTTTGTGTGATAAATACGAGCATTTGTACTCCAGTCATGGACGTTTAATTTGCATTTCTATATAAATATAACTATATATATATATGTACATATGTGCATATATTATGCATTCTATCCGTTACCCTAGTATCCCATAACGCAAGCCTTACAGTGCTTACTTTGGGGCTAGGCTAATTGGTGTGTGTTGGAAAATGTTGGGAATATATCTAGGGGTAATAAAGCAGAGGTATACAGAAAGTTATATGAAATATGTACATCTGTCCAAATATTATGCTATCAGTCTACTATGTACTAAATTTTGTTAAAAAACAAATTACGCACATCTATCAATAACAAAAAACTATGAACATGTTCTGTTTCTACAACAATGACGAGACTTTTCGTACCTATCTAATGGCGCGATTACACTTGGTTGTTAGCACGTATTAGGGTGCACAAAAGACATTACCCGAAATGGGGAAATGAACGGAGTTGAGAGATGTAATTGAGCCATTATCCTATTATCACAACCACACATTAGTAAAAAGTTTCTTGTTAATGGAAAGAAGGCATCCATCAATCAAGCCATATATTTTTGTATTAAAAGCAATGTCACCGCTTTACTCCCACTCCTAAGTCAGCTAAAGGAACTCATCAGTTTTAGACAGGTTCACCAGTGGCTGTCTGCATATCAACATAAATTTAAGCACAGTGTAGCACTCCATGGTGTGCACAGGAATTATTGGCATGCAAATCCATTACAACCCAATTCCCAAAATACAAAACTTATTGTTTAAATTCATTTATACACAACATTTATATCAAATAGCCAGAAATTGTTGTGAAATAGATATAATTAACATGTTTCTGTACTCATTGGATTTTTAAATGAATTCTACAACATTATTACAAGAGTAGAAAAACTTACTAGCAATACTGACTATTAAATATCACTATATATCTAGTTCTTAAATGTATAGTAATGTTAATACAGACATAGCAAACATGATTTTTTACGAGAGGAGAATTTCAAAGAATAACAGATTAAAATATGCCATTACTCTTTGTTATATCTAATGAAAATCTATAGAAATTTTCTTCTCAATTCTAGTACATAATATGATTATAAGCTCATACCTTGTCAGAACCGGTATAGTGTTAGCAAAATCAGCCAAGATCTCTTTCTTGCTTTTCAGATTAAAAAACAAAGCACTGTATTTTCGTATCATAATTCTTAGTCTAGAATTGAGAAAAAATATGATTTTAAGTACTATAGATTTAACAAATAAATACCTTATTGAGGCTCATATGAAAAAGAAAAAAGGACTCAGTGGTGTAGATTCTGGCATGATTCTCTAAACCTAAAATTAAATTTAAAAGCAGTGTATCCTTATCATACTCTATACAGAATGAAAAGGCCAAAATCAACACCATTGTCTTTATAAAAATAACTAGCGGCCGCCCGCCACTTCGTAAGCGTGGAGTCAGTTATTTGCACATACTTTTTGACCCCTGGTCACTGCTTGTTCCCCATAGGTGATAGTGTGATAATATGTAGCCTATATGTTGACCCGACTTCTTAATAATATTCGTGCCAAATTTGAAGTGATACCATGTAGTACTTTTTGAGTTTATCCCGGACATACATACAGAGAAACAGACAAAAATTCTAAAAACTATTTTTTTATGGCTTCCGTATCGATTGTAGACCACACCCCAAGTGTTTTTTTTTTTAAATATTCAATGGACCATTTTTGCTTTCCTACCATTTTATTATAAGTAATATAGATATAGATACATTCATAATTTAGTTATTTGGTTAACATTCATAGTTGTTTTAAATATTTTATGTGATATTTAGCATTTCTTTAAAACAATTGCTGGAACATGGTCTACTGAGAAGAAGCAACAAATTAATTCCAAAGTTATCCAAATAAAAAGTGCATTCACTAACCACCAGCTAGTAAAACTATTTAAATATATGATAAAACTTTGTTAGTCATACAATTATTCAATTTGCCTGTAACCATTAACAGGTGTTACACACATGAATCATTTATATCACTGGTATTTGTAATAAAAGTTATTACTAGTTTATTTTACTTGTAAATATATCTTTATGATTTCACTTTTAAACTACTTCACTTAAATATCTAAAAATGATTTTCATAAATATAATTCCTTTAATTTATTGAGAAAATTATAATTGATAATAGCATACTGATAGGCTGTTGGTTAAAATGTAGTAAGTATAAATTTAATAGCTTACCTGGTGACTATTGGAAGATCTTTTGCAAAGTTTTCTAGAATAGCCCTTTGGCCATCCTCCGATTCAGCACTCAATAATTTCTCTAATTCTGATTCAGGTAATTTATACTGAAACATAAAGAAATAAGCTCATGATGTGTTAGGTTCAGTTACATACAAGAAAATAATAAATAAAAAAATGGATTATACAACTATATATAAAATACATTGTCATAACTCGCTTATTTTTTTTATATTATATTTTCGAATATAGCTGATTTAAAGTTATGTATATATAATTTAGTTCACCAAAATAATTACTTAGATTAATTATAGAGTACTTCACTCAATCAATCTTTAATATTTGTTTACATAATGATGACAATGACACAATGTTTCATATAGTGTAGATAGTGTTACCTTGTCAGGAATTGGCTTTATATCTGCAAAAATTGTTTTAAAATATGACCAGGAGAACATGATCAAAAGAATGTGATAAAACACCAAGTATATACACTGCTGAACTGTTGTCTCTATTGTAACTGAAAACAAATACAAATGTAAGTTATGAAACCTTAAATTAGCAAGACATACATGTAATTTTCACTGTCCAAGATACTAACAAATGCATAGTTGAATAACGTAGGCATAGTAAGACCAAGTTACGATCGAAACTATAAGCAACACTGGAAGCCACTTGAAGGCTCGCCAACACCACATATTACACACTCTACAACATACACAATAACCCGAAGGCGATACTCTATTATTTTGGATAGACGAAGCCATATTTACTAATTTCTCATAATAAAAATATCCATGTTCTGATGTTCACAGATAGGTACATTAAAAACTGAACTGACAAACGAAAAATGAAAGTTGACGTAAGTGTTACCAGCATATTACGCCTCTTTCAGTCTTGCCAACATAACAAATCTCAAGATGGTGATGTGAAAAACCGTCACTTTATACGTTCTTAGGGTACATATCGGCTTGTCTTTGGATCACTAACCACTTTTTTATTAGTGGTAACATTAGACAACAATTGTCAAATTATGGCTTTTTCCCGAAGTCGGTGAGCGTCAAAAATTTCGTTGTTTTGTTCCTACCAAATCCGTTCCGAAAATAATTACCAATTTTCAATTTATTTAAATCATGGATGTCAAAGAATGCAACGATTTAGCCGAAGAAGTGAGTGCAATTTTGCATTAGTCATTTTGCATAAATTAATAGTTCATACTAACTTTAACATGACGTGTTTCAGAATCAATTTATAGTTGATGATGTGAGTAAAATTATAAAAGAAGCTATAGAAAATTCTATTGGAGGCACTGCATATCAACACAACAAAGTTAATCAATGGACGTCTGCTGTGGTGGAGTCATGTTTGGGACAATTGACCAAGTTGCAAAAACCTTATAAATACATAGGTATATATACACCAAGTGCAGTTAGAAATCACATCGTGCATTAACGGTGCTTTCTGAATATAAACTTTTGTCTTAATAATTATTCAGTATACATAGTGATTTCTTTTATTTCAGTGACATGCACAATAATGCAGAAAAATGGTGCAGGCTTACATACAGCCTCCTCTTGTTTCTGGGACAATAATACTGATGGATCTTGTACTGTGCGCTGGGAAAACAAAACCATGTATTGCATTGTATCCGTCTTTGGTCTTGGTATCTAACAATTATTAATTTTTAAAATAAGTAAACTTCAACATAGCCAATATTGCAATTTTATTAGGAAGATCAAGCTTCAGAAGGATGAATTATTGCATGCGATAACAAGCAATTTACTTAGACAATTATTTAAAGTATTGCATCATTATATATTGTAATATGGTAATTATGTCAGAATAATATTGTTAAGTTCATAAATTGTACATGTAACAATAACCTTAATGATTATATCAATTAAAAATAGATGTAGAAAATATCCATTGAGAATCATTTAGTTTGGTACATTTAAACACTGATTCAATAAACTTACACCATTGCTTTTATTAAAAATTGTTTTGTCAAAACATTTTGTGAAATGTGGAAGCACTTAATGTATTGTTTCAATTAAAAAGCCTTTCTTTAGTCATTACTTAATTTTAAGTAAGTTAGGATATATTTTGTCATACATAATAAATATATCTGAAAATCATTATTATATTTATTTTTATAATTCTTGAAGTTGAAATAAACATAAGTTTATGAATTGCAAATTCATTCAGACAGAGGCTTCGCATACATCTATTGCCAGAGGCCCAGCAAATATCTACTGCCAGAGGTCTAGCAAATATCTAGTTTGATTGGCCATTACCTAATCTAATTAATTGTCCTATATGTTGTGGACCATCTTTACTGGAGTGCAGAATTATAAAATTCTCCCAGTACAGGAAGTGTGTTGCAATTTTACATCTACGTTTGTGTGAGCCTACTCACATTTTTTTTAATTATGGGCATGGGTGTTGTAAAAATAGCATAGGAACGGATTGTTTATCTGATTCGCTTCCCTAACCTGCAGTACTCTGTCAAACTTCTGCAGGAACAAACAAAATTGTGTCTGTCCACCAAGCAGCAAAGTTTAATTTGCCAATTGTCACACGTTCATTGCCTTACGAAAATATCTACGCAAGATGCAAGCAAGCTTCAAATGACGAAAGTGCGTTTGGTGTGCAGATGAACTAAGTTGGTATATAATGTCCTTGGTGCATATTACGTGGACATACACAGGAGTAAGCCAAAGTTCGGTTTATCATTTTCGGGCAGGTAGACAGGTACTAGTACTTAGGGGACCAAGTATAATAGAATTAATGCTGCATTTTCGGTGGGCAGCGGCAGTGCGTGAGGACAAGCGGGTGTCATGAGTTTTGCCTTTTTCGAAAGGCCTGCATTATGGAAAGCAAGAGGAGCTCAATGGCGCAAGTGGTAAGCGCGTTCGGCTGCGATCGTTGAACTTAAGCAACTTTCGCAGTGGTCGGTGATTGGATAAGTAACCAAAAATTTACAATCCCGAGCTCCTCCGTGCTTCGGAAGGCACTTTAAGCCGTTGGTCCCGGCTCCATCTGCAGTCATTAGCACCTACCAATCCACACTGCCCGCGTGGTGGGTCATGGCCCTATCTCCCTATTCCATCCATAGAGAAGGCTTGTGCCCCAGCAATGGAGACATTAATAGGCTGATGATGATGGAAAGCAAACGATCCTGGCTATAGTAATAGATATGTGATCAAGAGACTTTGGGAGTCTTCGAAAAATCTAGTGTCTCGAAAACATAATATCTTATGGCAGTAGTATTTAATATTTTAGAGAATACCATTTTATTATAATAAACTCTGCCGTGAATATTGAAATATCCTACTGGCGATTACTTAGCGATACTGCTTGTTCTCGGCCCCCCCTAAAACCCAATTTTTCTGCTGGGTATTTTATTGCACTCCCGCATATCGCGCCCAGCACGAAAATGCAGCCTAAAACGTTTCTGTCCCTAATAATGTTTCTGAAAGACTAAGAATCATGGAAGATGAATGACTATCCTCTACCCTGTGAAGTCTTGTGAACCATATTTATATGTTATTTACCAAGTACAAACCCAATCAAAGGTAAAAGATTCCTTAATTTTCTGTGCTTTTCAGAATGTCACTTGTAAAGGGAAGTCTGTACCATTTCTCATAGAACAAGGCATATTGCGTATGTGCAATGTTCACATAAACCTTTTCTTCACATACTCAAACAGAACCTGTACCTTCGTTTAAAGTGTTCATACGTAGATACAGTTTCTGTTTTAATCTAAGCTGTAGCTAGATAAATAAATAACAGCAATTCTATTCTGGTGTTTCTCGGTAAGAAAAGTTTCATAGGTAAACTGCAGATTTTATTGCATGTAGTCGACAAAGTAAGGGTAACGGCAGGAGGAGATAGTTTAGATCTTTGTTTAAGCTATGATCGTGATTTGTGGGGGAATAAAAGTGCTTGTATGCTAGGGTAGTTGCTTATACGTTTTTCTATGAAAGAACTGTATAATATTTTAAATTTCAACAAAATTATTGTCACTAATAGTAAGAAATCTAGAGATCTACTTCCAGCTATTTAAATGTTCGCGGTTGGTTTTCAAGCGCGACATATTTGTGTCACGTGACCGTCATCGATCCAATGGATGAACGCGTCTCGGGTCCATTCAACTCGCTCGCGGCCAGCGCTACCGCCCGGGGAGGGATACTTCACAACAACGATTCTATTCATACGTACAAAATATTTGTATATTTCTATCTCTCTCGCGCATATTGAGAAATAAATAAATGAATGGTGAACGAGTGAAATAGTGATATGTTCGAGTGGAAATTATTGAAAGCTGAGCCAGGCCACTCGCCACCAGTCTGTGCCGTGCCGTGTAGAATTTTTTGATGTGGGAGTTGTGTCTTGGAACGTCAAACGCTTCAATGATTATTATTTTCAAGTGTAAGTAAATTTTCATGTAGAACGCCATCCAATATTGTGAAAAGTGGTGTTTCTTAATGTGGACAAAACAAATTCCTTTGTGATCGTGATTCATATTAGTGGTGAAGGCAGCTATAATAAATTGGTGGGGGGCTGCTAAAATACTACGATAGGATAGTAACAACATTTTACAACTTGAGAGAGAGGTGTTCGGAGCGCTCTTAAAATCTTCATCTCGGTGCGGGCGAGACGGACTTCCATTTTGTTTTATTATGTGGTTTGACTGTTTATATTGTGCGTCGCCTGCAGGACAATGGGAAACGACGGTGAGTGCCTATGTTGTAAGAGGATCTGCGCATGTAGGCCGCCGCACACGGCAATAAACATACAAGTGAATAAGTAATGGTATTCGATTTTGTGCATCGTGTGGCGCAGTCGTGGTGGTGGCAACAAGAGTCTAGTCTTGTTGTGGAGGGATTGTCAGTGCTTCGCGTGAGGTTTGGTAGACCAATTGATTTCGGTTTGGTTGAATCTATAAGCATGCGCCGACACTGTGCAGCCGATACGTACGTCTGTCGTTGCGTTATAAACAGCCCCTTATCAGCTGATTACACTACGCCTGTATGGACGGACATTTAACCACTTGCCTATGGATTTTAAAAGCCAAAAAAGATAACCAAATTGAATAACCTAAATTTTCTGAGAATGATGTGGGATTTTAGTAGATTTCAAATTAAATTAGAAAGCTAAAGTAATTGTAATATGTCAATATTTATCAATAAACTGATGAATTTTCTATGTAAAAGAAATATCTATAACTTGTAAAATAAAATTTGGTTTAGTGGTAAAGGTGTTGTGTTGGTAATAAAGTCATTACAAGACAGCAATTGAATTAAGGCTACTGAAAATTTTACCTATATCTTGATGTATTTTAGTCTCAATTACATAATCAGTATATCAAATACATAAAAAAATATAAGTACTTGTATAAATAATATACAGTCAAGCCACCCCGGCAATCATTGGGAAATACAAATTAAAATTATGATATAGACAGATTGTAAATAATACAAAACATTTTTACTGTAAAATGTACTCTGTCTGTCTGTTGAACTGTTTAAAAGTAGCTATATGTATAAATTTACTTTTAAATATGTTAACCATTTTTATTAAAAGAAAAATAACTAAGAAAAATTTACTTTTTACTACAAAGTATAAAGTTCTTATATTATAAACAGATTATTTACTGACCAGCCTAAATGTTTTTAATTTCATAATATTTTAGGTACCCAATCTAATGTTACATCCCTATTTCTTAGACTGAAGCTAGGTAACATTCTCAAGAGTTTAGATGACTCATTTACTAAGGCCATACAATGTAGATACTACAAATATTATAAAATGTGCTTGTCTGATAGTTGGAATAGTCATATTACTAACGGACCAAGGCCATTGGGAAAGACATGTTTGAACTTGTTTATTATGATGACTTAATGTGAGGGTCATTCATTCATTCACTCCAGGGAGGGAACATTAGGTCAGTGAGATTTAATTTGAGAGGTATGAAGAATATAATTATGGTAAAGAAATAATTTATCTCAGATACATTTACCTTAGAACACGGATTATCCAAATTAATTAGGACTGGGGTCGATTCCGATATTCAGACATAGACTGTTAATAAAGAAAAACAAAGTGCCACACATAGAATAAACCATATAAGTTTAACAAACACAGTTCTACAATACTAAATACAATAATAGAGGTACATATTAGCAAAACAAAAACGCACCATGCAAAACATATTGTAGTGTCTTGCCTCTAGCTTTGAACCATAACAGAAATGGACTCCAGCGAGTTCCAACTTGTTTCAACAAAACAGAACAAAAATAACTTGGATTTAATTTTTTATATAATGCTTAGGACTGATTCGGATAATTGGCGATTCAGTTAGTCGGTGTTATGCTGTGTCTTGATTTGCTAGATCCAGATATTATGGATGGCCATCCTTTTCACTGCAATACCTATGATGTTATGATGATTTGAAAAAAGTGACCCTATCCTTGTCATTCTCAATACAGAATGAGAAGGAGAGACTGATCTTAAATTTAGTTTTAAGTTAAGAGAATTATGCCAGAATCGACACCATTGTTATAGTTTGTAGCAACCCCTACAATATTGCTTCATATACTAATATTATGTGAAAGTTTGTATATATATGTTTGTTACTCAATCATGTTAAAATTACTGAAGGGATTTGCATGAAATTTGGTATGCATATAGTTAATAAGTTGGATTGAGGCATAGGATATCATTTATACTGGTTTTTTTTTCTGGAAAAGGTTCCTGTGTTGTGGTAGGATTCCCAAAAAACTAAAGTCAATGCAGATGAAGTT